AAACAAAGAAAACAAAGAAAAGAAAGAAAAGGAAAAAAGAGAAAATGAAACAAAAGAAACGGGGGGAAGAAAAAGAGGAAAGGGGGTAAGAGCATGAAAGAGGAGGGATGTGAGTAAGTTAGAGAGAGGGGGTTGTTGGGTGGAGTCATCTCGTCGAGAGAGCAAGAAAGACACTCATAGATATGTTGCTGTGTCTGGTCAGCTGTGTCGGTTTTCTCGCTCGATTCTCGTGTACTATATCAATGCAAAAGTTTGAACTCGATAAGACGTAAAATATCGGTCGGCCGGCGAATTATTTTTTTCTACAAACTGACTTTTTATCGGCTGAGACGACTTCGATAGAGACTTCAGCTATAAGACTTGTATTTTCTCGAAGTTCTACCAGCAATCATTTAAAAAACATTGTCAACTGTAATCCCGGGGGTACTCATATTTTAGGACATACAGGGGGTGCCGCTCTAATGGGTCACTTTCTCACAAAAAAATCCCTAAACATGGGTCTTACTAACAAAAATACCTTTAAAAATGGGTCCGTTTTCTCAATATTTCAAAATATTAACACCCGAAAATTTTGAAAAAATGGGTCTTTTTTGAGAAAGTGAACCCCAATGGCTTCAGCGGCAAACCCCCGTCAAAACCAAATCTAATCCCTCCCGGGGAACTGTAATTGTCATTGTTTTACTTTTTGTAAAAATGCCCCTTCCCCTTTTCACCTCTGATATGTGCCCCTTTATTTTGAAACGTGCCCCTTATCCTTCGACAATTTCCTATTTTTCTTTTCAGTTAGTGTCCATTTTTCATTCTCATAAGTGCCCTTTTTAATCTCAAGTATGTGCCCCGTTTCAGGTTCGAGAAGTGCCCCATTTAAAAAAGAGCCCCTTCCCTTCTCATAAATTCCCCTTTTTATCTCCGGTAAATGACCCTTTTCAGGTACAAGAAGTTACAAGTGCCCCCTTCACCTCCTATAATTGCCCCTATTCAAATCTCAGAGATACTCGTTTTACTTTGACAAGTCCCTCGTCCCGATAAGTGCTCTTTTCATCTCTGATGAGCGTCCTTTTTCTTTTCTAATAAGTGTCTTATCCCTTTCGATAAGTGTCTCCTTTTCCTCTCATCATTTAACGCACCCCTAAATTCAAGCGACTAAGAGCAATTTCCCCCTAAGCTCGCTCGCTACGCTCGTCCGCATTGAAAGATGATACAGTAATGTCACTTATCAAAGGTCTTTTCAGTCTCCCGTTATGAGAATGTGCTCAGTATTGGGGTTTTCCCTCTTTAAAGATGTAATTTTTCGCACTGCGCCCTCACAAATCTGTTTTTTTTTCATCGCTCGCTACGCTCGCTTGAGCAGTATCTTGTATGGTGTATCAAGAATTCATCCCTGATAATATAATCACAATGTAGGGGTATATACCAATACCAATGTCCAAAATATTGCATATTTACGCTTTGAGAGTACCTTTTTTTTCTTCCAGAAAGTACCCTTTATTTTTGGTGTCCCCCACCCCGACACTTTGGAAGCCGCCCGCCGCTCCTGTATTCTATCCATTATCACAATCCCCCTTCTCCCTCTCCCTCTCTCTTTCTTTCACTTCTCTCTCTCTCTCTCTCTCTCTATCGACCCCTCATATCCTTAGAGTAAATGCAATCATTGCAATGAGACATAAAAGTCGATCATGATCTCCCATCCCCCCTTTTCTCTCTCTCTCTCTTTCTCTCTCTCTCTCTATCTCTCTCTTTCTTTCTTTCTCTTTTTCTCTCTCTCTCTGTCTCCTCTCTTTCTCGATCCCTCCCTCCTCTTTCTCTCTCTCTCTCTCTCTCGACACCTTATTCTAAATTCAGGCATATCGACGCCAGATCTTTCAAACAGTGGAAATGCCTTTTTAAAAAGGCTGTTATTCTACATGTAGAATCCTTCCCATATCCTTAGATTGGTTCTAGGGCAACTACCCCCGGACAACCATCCTCTAGGACAACTACCCCCTGGACAACTATCCTAGTGGGAATTGTCCGGGGGTAGTTGTCCGGGTAGTAGTTGTCCGGGGGTCCCGGGGTAGTCGTCCTACCAAGGGGTAGTTGACTAGGGGGTAGATGGATGTCCAGAGGGTAGGTGTCCGGATACGTCTTAGAGTAAATGAAATGAAATATAAAATTAGATCATGTTCCTCCCTTCCCATTTCTCTCTTTCTTTCTCTTTCTCTCTTTGGATCCTCTCTTTTTCTATCCCCCCCCCCCCCCCCCTCTCTCTCTCTCTCTCTCTCTCTCTCTCATGACACCTTATTCTCAAATTAGGCATATCAATACCAGATCTTTCAAACAGTGGAAATGCATAAATGGCTGGTATTCTACATTACATGTAGAATCCTTCCAATGTCTTTAGAGTAAATGAAATGACATATAAAATTCGATTATTATAAAAACCTGAAGCATTTATGACAAATATAGGATTTTATTATCACGCAATGAATTCAAATTAGTTCTTTTTTTCTACATCCCGTACACCTGATGATGTTGGTCATGCAGGCCTAGGGGAAAAAAATTATTTTCTTCAATTAATTTGTTTAAACTCTAACAACACTGCAAGATTAGGCCTAAAAAAAGATGTTGTATTGCCCTTAAGGTGCCAAAACATGGGTTGGTCGGTCGGAAATCTTTTTTTCTTTTTTTTTACTTTTTTTTTTAAAAACTCCCTCTTTGGGCTGATATTTCTCAACTGAATGCTTTGATACATTTTTTTCTCAAAAAACGGTTTAAAACAAAAACCGTTTTAAACAGCCGACCGTCGATTTCAAAATTGTTGGGTCGGTCGCAAAGGGCAATACAACATTTTTTTATAGGCCTTATGATAACCTCTTACCATCACACTAAATATACGTTAAAATTAGTAGATAATAATATTGTCAAGAGTATCATTCCAATTCCCTGCATCCATTATAGTAGGGCTCGTTTGCTATAAAGAGGACTGCCAGTAAACTCCAAAACCCAGTCTCGATCAATAGTCTAACAAGTTATATAGGAGGGTTCGAGAGGCCGTAGGCTCACAAGACTCTTTTTTTTTTTTTAATTAGAAAAATCAGCACATTTGATGAATATTGATTTACGCACTGGATTTGGAAAAAGACCTAAAAAAACACTATTCATTAAAATAGTACATTTTTTCGTTTATGCAATCAAAGTGCAATATTGGACAAAACCGTAAACAAACAGGCGACGATGCGAGGAACTAAATAGTATTATATTGTATACGGTATATTTATGGCAAACATTGAAATAAGTGTTGGGGGCTGCTTTTATATCTTTCCTTTTTCCATACATTTGATAATTCTTTTCTCTTAGTGCGATGTTTGCGACACCTTCAAGTGACTATAGTAAGGCATAACTCCCGTGTCATTACATGCCGTGTATGATCATGAGGCTATGTACATGGTGCCTAAGCGGAAACTTCTTTTATATAAAATGTTGATTTTCATTTGGGTTTTCATTTTGATTTTTTTTTTTTTTTTTTTTGGGGGGGGGGCGGTTTGAGTAAAGGATATACGTTCATGTGTAAAATGCAGCCATTGTCAAAGATAACGCTTAATTATCGAATCTTATATAGTGGAGACGAAGATCTGAAGAGACGGAGTATTACTTTTATTCATCATGTTAATGAATTATGTATTAGACTTAGTATACATCAGTGATAGCAGGAATAAAAGGCCTAGCCTAACTTCTTGATAATTTTTCTAAAAATAAACATATATGAAAACAAAATATCACTCTCCCTCTCCTTCCCTACATCACTCTCTGTCTCTCTTCTCTTCTGATTTTTCCCCACAATTCGATGGTAGCATGTGCCCCTTTAGTTACAACAGTTGTCATCAACTACTTTTCAGCGGAAGTATCCGATTTAATCTGTAAAATAAGACAAACATTTAAGTGATTTACAAATTAATTCTTCGTAGCTTTTCTGAAAAGGATGTTGAAACATTATTTCATCTAAACAACCTGCATAATTATGGGGCGTTTAGAGGATTAGCAGAAGTATAAAGGAGACGGAAAGAAAGGAACAGTTCATAATGGTATGACAATTTATTAAGCACTTACACAAGACTACATTTTGTTTTGGTGTTGAGTACGCCAAACATGAGGACGGAGGAAAGGAAAAACTCAAGATTATCGTCATCAAAATTTTTTTTTTTTTTTACTTCGTTATCAAAGATCCCCATATCTCTATTTCTCTTTCTCTTCTGTGCTCATAATATAAAAAAAAAACATTTCATTTTTCCTTAGTATTGCACATCGCTACTAATTTTCAGAAATGTAATTTACTGCTTTCATCTGATGATGTTCATCAGAGTGAGCCCAACTTAGGGAAATGATTCGGGAAAATGTTTTTATCATTGATTTGGGGTATTGTCCAACACTATCCAATATTCGGAGTTCTAACAGTCCGGTGTAAAAAATCAATACGGGCCGATTTGTGTGTGTGTGTGTGTAAAAAGTACCCCTTTACCGGAGATTTTGGGAACATGAATGCGATCCCGGAGTGGGGGGGGGGGGGGGAAGGGGGGGGCTGGGGTAATAGTAATACTTAGTGCGCCTCGGAATAGAATATCTATAGATAGACGGCGCTATAGAAATACTTATTATCATCAGGCGCGTACGCAGGGGGGATGTTTGGGGGGTTAAACCCCCCCCCCCCCCTTTGGTATTTTTATGTGTATAAACCCCCTAAACCCCCCCCCCCCCCCTTTGGGTTTTTTTTCCTTTTTTTTCTAATAATAAAAAAAAAAAAAAAAAAAAATTAAAAATTATTCCCATGGCTGACCTAAAAAAGGCGACCTTACCCCCTCCCCCCATCGGAGCAAAATGTCAATTTTTCAAATTTCGAGACCAAAAAAAAAAAAAAAGTGTCCTCTTAACCCCCCCCCCCCCCCCCCCGCTTATTCAGCGGCTGGCTGAGTCGATGCGAAATTTTCGGCCCGATTTAAAAATGTTAAACCCCCCCCCCCCCCCCCTTGAAAAAATCCTGCGTACGCGCCTGAATATCATAATGTATTATTAATACGTAGGAGGCGAGGACTTTAAAATTACCGATCTTCGGGCAACCACTACCTCAAATTCTGGCAGCGAGGTGCTCAAATGATTATTTGGGAAGCGAGAATATCCCGAGTACCCTCATATTCGGGCAGCGGGGTGCCGGGTCCTGTAATCTTTCTAATTTCACTATACTAAAAATTGTCAAAAATATTGCACAGTCGTTTCGCTCGCGACTGTTAGATTTCTATACGGGGTACGTGTCCCATGAAATGGAAAGAGAGTTTGATTAGCATCTTGAAAACTGATTGACCATTTTCAATGAAATTTCGTAAGAAATATTTTAGTACGTTCTAATATTTAATTGAATGGTACAAGGATCTACGCTAAAACAACAAAATGTTTATTACCTCAAATTAACTCCAATTCTTATTACCTGAGGGGTATTTACAATCAAGATGAATGTCAATATAACTATTTTAAACCAAAAATTACGACAAATTAATGTCTTTAGTGTCTGTTTTATGGAGATATAACGGTCAATTAAAATCAAATTGAATTATGTAGAAAAAGATAAAGGACATGTTAAGCAATGTTCATAAATCCTCTGAGAATAGATTTGAAAAATGGCATGTGTAACTAAAACATTCAAATCTTTGTAATTTGAGTTAGATCCTTGTGTCAGAATTCACACATAGTTTAAGAGATGCTATTTCAGCATTATAAATGAATTACCTGCGATTTCATTGAGGATAGCTAATTACTAATTTCATTTCTTAGAGACACCCCGTATAGAAGATACTTTTGTGAAGGCCCGGGACTTCATCCCTACACATCCGTCTCTGCGGTATAATTCTATTTGAACAGAACACATTTCTACAATATATTATGAACTTAAAGGAAGGGAACTATTATAACTTTATTGACTCAACTAAATCCAACCGACTGAATATACATCATTGCAGACGGAACTGATAAATCGAGAATTTCCATGATTTGTGCGCCTCAGCTGAATCACGTCCTGCCGCGTCTCTGAAAGAAATCAAAAGAAACAGAGGCATGCATAGTTTGATTAAAACTAACATCTATATGTACAGGTCAAAGGTCAATGACCTGTCCATAAATCTTCTGTAACTTCAATGTAAATTATTTAACCCTATTTTGATTGCTCTTAAAAGCTGAGAAATATACCCATGGTACTTTTTTTGCGTGTTTATCTTTTACGACGATTAATACTACTAAATAAAGTCTCTTTGCTAAATATATTACTCATTGCGGATGTAGTATCAAAAATAATATCGCTAGTGATATTTGTTTGTCTCGCAAGAAAGATCACGACGTTTCGTGCGCCGCTGCAGCATTTCGTTAATTTCTATTGGAATGGATCACAAGGCCTTCAAAGCTAATGATCATTACTTTTCTCACTATCATCATTATTGTTATTACCATCAATATTATTAATACTATTGCTAGTATTATTATCATTAGTATAGAAGTAGTAATCATCATTTCGATAGGGGCTATCCAAATAGTTCAGTTATTATGAATCTCCCTCTGTCTCCTACTCACCTCAATGAGGACCTTCTGAGTCGAACACTCCCTCGTCCTGATGAATCTCGTCTCCTACTAAGGTACATCATTAATATAGCACCGGCTCCAAATATTCCAAAGACACCAAGTAGAGCACCCATAATGGTTACAACGCTAGTACTTCCACCTGATGTCTTCGTGTTCAAATGTCCACTTCCATTTTTATCTTCTTCTGCAGGTCCTTGCCCTTTTGCTCGATCTGGGAATCTACCCGGATTTACACCTGGTTTAACGCCATTTCCTGGACCTGCATTATTTGGTTGCCCCCTGCCAGCATTAACCCCATTATGACCGCGAGATCCAGGGGGATTTGGTGTCAATGGTGGCCCTCCATACTGAGGACCTTGAGGACCTTGAGGATAATGTGGTCCACCAGGGTATTCAGGAATCTGTGTAACACGAAATCCATATCCAGGATCTGTTCCAACACTAGGTCCACCACCGCCAACTCCTGTTTCTGTTCTTGGCCCAAACCCTCCATCAGTTCCTGGTCTAAATCCAGGCCTTGGATTGAATTGTGGTCCCCCGCCTGGTCCACGCCCATTACCTGGGCTTTCCGATGGGGTTGCCTTTGGTGGACCAAATCCGGGCCTTGGTTTGAATGCACCAGGTCCAAATCCTCTCTGGCCTATTCCAGGACTTTTCCTTTGTCCTCTTCCACCTAGGCCAGGCTGAAATGGATATCTGGGCACTTCGGGTCCGAGCGGGCCTTGCGGAGGTTCTGACACGCTTATGTGAACTATGGGGAAGGTAATAATGAGAAATACCTTTTTTAAATTCTTTTATTTAAAAATCCTTCAAAAGTAATTCTAATTCCATCAATATGAAACATTTGATTAGTAATCAATACTGAGGAAGACTGTACAAAGGGTAGACTTAATCGTGACAAGTCATAACAGTTTGTTGAACAGGAGTATTCGGACATTCATGAAATTAGGTCCAAATAAATGAATAGACATTATTATGATTGTGTAAAATGAATTTATTTAAAGTTCGAATTCCCGACGCCACTACACAAAAGAGATATTGTCCTTTCCTTCCCGGACCTTATGAATTGAGAGATGATTGGATGATTTTTGTTTGTGACAGGCCTACATCCATAACTACGATCTCCTGTTGGTCTAATTCCAGTAGAAGTCCCTCATTGCCTATTTGATTTGATACAATTCAATTTGATTTCATGTAATCACGTCATGCGAAGGTTTCTAAAAATCAAAAGGAGCACTTCCAGCGTATTTGAGCTCGAAAAATACAAATACAATGATGATCCACCTCGTAAAAGCATTTCTAAAGTAGGATTGTGTTTCCACTTTGAGAAACATCCGCATAGCAAAACAGAAGCATTATTCGCTGAACTTCTGAGACAAGATTTTGCCTTTCAGTTAGTGATATTTCAAACTTTATAGATGATTTTGCCAGTCATAACGTCTGTCATCTGTTATCAAATTAGGTAATAACTTGAAATTTTTAATGGAAATGTTCTTCAAAAATCTATGAAGATTTACCCGATGACCATTGAATTATTAAGATTATTATGGGTGAGAGTACCTGTGAATGTAATAGTCATCAAAGTTACGCATAAAACGAAAATAATTATATTAGGAAAGACTTAATTGCATGTATAATGAAAGGTCAATATTAATGAAACGAGGAAATACTTGTGAATGATCTAAGATCATACCTCTTTCACACTTCTGACCAACTCTCCTCCAACCATGACAGCATTTAAATTCCGTATCGTAAATCAACTTCGTAGTTATCCTGTATACTGGTTGAAATGTTACTCTGCAAATAATATGTAAGAATTAATGTACATTCAAAATAACTTCAGTTATTCAATGAAATGCGTTCTTGATCTTGATTTGACTCATGATTAAATGTGTTGTAATCGTCATTTGCTGTGTGTATATACTCCAGTCATGGGAAGATCACATTAATAACAATTTGTTAAACCTTAGATACGTAGCTATACTAGTCGTCAGGTTGTTCGAATCTGCAATCGTATAACCTCATACCTTGGAAGATAATATGTAAACCCTCATAAGCACCCTTTCCACTTCTGATACATTTATTTATAAGTGATTGATATTTACAGATAACTATTGTAGCGCCTAGAGTAACTTATGTCGTCAGCGAGTGCGCTTTAAAGGTACCTTACTTGTATTATCAATATCATTTATAGCAGCTAATTATTAGAAGACAGCGTAATCAATCGCCCCTTTCCGTCACTTTAGTGCGAGAACCCCTTCCTTTTCTCTTCTCATCTTTCCTCTTTTCTCTTTGGTAATTGGAAAACTATCATAAAGCCAGTGAGATTTTCACAAACCAGAATGGCGGACCAAGAGGCCCAAGCCAACATCCCTTCCCCCATCGTCCAGAAAATTCAAGATATGCCAATAAACCTATTCGTTTTTAGAGAAAACATGTTCTCATATTTAAAGCAAAAAAAAAGAATACAAAATATTGCTATGTAGGCTCGAACGTAATAGAATTTGTTGCTTGTAACGGACACAACCTATATTCTTTATCCAAAAGACGGCAATACAAATCAGAAATAACTGGGATTAAATTCGTGTTAAGGAATTACCGCGAAATAATTGCCGGAGCTATGCATGCTCACTTAAACGGAGAAAGGCAGAACTGCCCGGTCGAAGAATAATTTATAAATTTCACTATGTAGAGACCTTATTAATTACAAAAAAAAATAAACTTACTTGTACACTACACATCCTGCATTATGGTGGAGCCATGAACAGTCTCCGTTATATGGAACTATTCTGCTCTGCATTGTTGATGTAACAACTGTGTCCATCCGACTGCAAGCGAGAGAAGAGCAAACAAATAAATATGTGTTTAATCTTAGCAATTGATTGTGTACTTATCAACTAAAGTTTATCACCGACCGGTGTCTTGGAAAGTGGACAAGTTCTAAACAGTTTTATTCTATCTCATTTTATTTCCCGGGATGGGAGGGGAAACCCATTCAACTTTAAAAATGAGAACATTATATACCTTGTAGGATCTCAAATCCCAAGCTTTCTTAGGTATCCCTATTCATCCCGGTGTGTATGCAGTGGATTGTCTAGAAACTTTCTCCGCTACCCCTATCGAACTCTTCCCAGTGTACGTGTATGCAGTAGATTGATATCCATCAAATTTCGTTCAAGAGTAAAAACAACATTAAACTCTTAATTCGAATTTGATTCCTGCCCTTGATGATGGTAACCTCGCTAGTCATAAGGACCGCAAATCATAAACGGAAAGGGGGTCACTTTTCATAAAGGCTTAAGGGCCGTTATAAATAAGGACCACTGTTCATAATGTGAGATGAGGGTCGCTATTCATAATTCATGTTGAAGGTCCTTAATCTTAAGGACCGCTATTCATAATACGAAACCAGAGTCACTATTCACAGTACGGATAGCATGAATAGCGACCCTCTTCTCCTGTCATGAATAGCGACCCTCTTCTTCAATTATGAATAGGGACCCTCTCCTCATAATATGAATAGCGACGCTCCTCTTTAATTTTGAATAGCGGTCCTTATGAATAATGACCCCTATGAATAATGACCCTTTTCTCAAACTATGAAGAGCGGTCCTTATGAATAGCGAGCGGACCCCAGTTGGCGCCCCCCTCCCCTCTCCTCTGGCAAAGTTTTTTTTTAAATATTAACGACGTCAAAATCTATATTTGTAAAACTGGATGCCGCTCCAACCATCCCATGAGCTGTCTCTCTGACCATGATTACCTGCAAGTTAATGGTGAATTGGTATATTTCTTAGAATCAGCGACTCTCTCTCTCTCTCTCTCTCTCTCTCCCTCTCTCTAGGTGCCATATCGATTGACTTTGTTCCACACCCCTCGGCTCCTAGCCTTCTCTATTAGCACCACTCCCAGTTCTTTCATTCCTCTCTCTCTCTCTTTTAACAATTTCTGCAGACTGTCCATCCAAAGTATCCTCTTTCTTCCCTACTCCTCCTTCCCACAATTTCCCTGTCAAAGCAAGATTCTCTAGGCCTTCTTTACGTGCAATGTGACCCATGAACTTCAACTGCCTAATCAACATCTCACTTATCATTTTCCTTTGTACTCCTGCTCTTCTAATAACTTCCTTATCACTAACTTTGTCAGTCCAAGGAATTTTCATCATTCTTCTTAAAAATCACATTTCGCAACTTTCCAAACGCTTTTTTAGTATCAGAGACTAACGTTTCATAAGTACTGGGTAGATGTAACAATTCAGTACTCTTATTCTGGTCCTCATACCCATTGTGCGATTTTTCAAAAATTTGCCTAACTTTGAAAACGCAGATTTAGCGAGAGCTCTCCTTCTCTTGATCTCTGTCTCACATCTGGCATCCTCGGTGATCATGCTGCCGAGGCAGTTAAATGAGGAGACTTGTTTAATAATCTCTTCTTTCAGTTTCACATTTACACATCCTTCTGCATTTCGACTGCTCTCTCTCTCCGTTATATTTCTAACCACAAATATTGCATTTCTTGTGCTCGCATCCTTGACAAAACCAAATTGTTCCCTTCCGACCATGCGAGTTATTTTTACTTCTTTCTCTCGAAAGCGACTATAACATGGAAACTCGGCTAAAGACACTCACAATGGATATGCATAGCCTATACGTACTGTTTTCTTTTCCTTGCTCGCTTAAATGTAAGATTGTAAAAAGTTTTAAAAAATGTGTTTTATATATAATTATCTACATATCATTTTCCCCGTGCCCTGACACTACGCAAAAGCTTTATTTAAGCCCCACTGCACAACTTATAGCTACTTGCGCCCTCTATTTAACAAACAATGCCTAATCGGTGACCATTAGTCCCCCATGGTCCCCTTTTTCTTATGTTAATTGAATGCTGATTTGATGAGATAACCACCTGTCAGTGACCATGCAGGGAGGTCTAATCCCCCCTGGCCAAACTAGTGCAGATATGATTTAAGGCGGGTTTTGCAATGATAGCTTCCTTCCTGTAAACGCCATTTTGAACTCATCCTGTCTAGACAAGAAAGACTTCTCTCAAGGGTCTTGGTTCTATGCGCGGAATCCACAGCTGTCTTGCATGCACTACAAGTGTTGGTATACCTTTGAGGTATATTCATATTTCTATAATTTTATAAATATATTATAGTCTATATATCAATTTCTATGCCTTTACAGATCCTTCAATAAAGTTCTGAAAAGATGTATAAACTTTATCCAAAATAAATCATATTGTCACAATCATTTCATTTCATTTCCTTACCAAATTCAATAAGGCATTGTTCATCTCTCTATTCTTTTATAGCATGTCTTAAAAACTCTTATATATATATACATATATATATATATATATATATATATATTAAGTTTCGTTATTATATGTATTATGTATACATGAAGTTATTATTGTTTGTATATTTTGTATTATAACTTACGTTTATATGTTCTGATAAGAGCGCTAAAGCTGAATTTCCGTATATAGGCCTATACATTGGCAAATGTGAGGATTGATTACCCCCCATCGTTGGATCGGTGTATTGAGCGCTATATAAAAAACCGGATTATTATTATTATTATTAATATATGTTACATGTTTATAACAATGATTTTATATGCAAATGATTCACATGGGTGGTGTGCAATACACTAAACAGCAATGTGTCAAATCATATAGGTCTTATGAAGGTGGAAATGTATTAAGTAAATTTAGTGGTTCTTTTTTACCGTTGGTAAGCCTACAGTAGACACCAAGCAATCATTCATGCGAGGTCCTTAACATGTTTTCAACTGGTCATTTACAAGAGAAAACGAGGTGACTACAAGTGTGTGGAGAGGAGTTTGTAAAATTAATTTTCAAATTTAAGGGGAATTTTGTTGTCTATTTTCACCCAGTAGTTTAAACACATTATTAATTTTCTAAACACTCTTTTGTTGATGTGGATAAATCCCAATTTACCCTCATTATTATCAGAGTATCATGAGTATCCATGAGTAGTGAATCTAGATGCATATTTTCAACTTTGAGGTTTGTTTGTTTTGTTTATTCACGATGTAAAATAATTGTTTACAGATAATAAAATTCAGTGGGTTACATTGAGATATCATACATAGTAGGAACAGTGCATAAACAAAACAAATTTGAAGCGCAATGTAATTTACCTGCATGTGGATATGACAAACCTGGAGCATAAGCTTACTTTTATCAATTACTCATACTACCAAATCTTAGCTATGACAGGTCACATTATAAAGCCGGGGTAGGCCTAATAATATCCAAAGTCCTTTTTAAAGCGCATAGACTTAGAGACGTTATGTCATAATGTGATATGCGCTATACAAAAACTGCATATTATTATTATCACCTTGAGAGTTATCGATCAATGAGGGTAACGTTATGGATTACTAGGTTATGAATTTGTAGCACAATATAAACTTCCTTGAAAAAATAATTTAGATGCAATTTGTGACACGGAAATAAAGGCGGTTACTGATATATTTCAGCTTATTGGTAAGATGGTCCAGTTCGGGTCTAGCTTCTCTCAAGATAATATCCCTACATACATGGCTATTTAGATGACCATTTTGGACCTCCATTCGAAAGAATATACATTTTTTAATCTTCGTATCTACCAATCTTGCACTTTGATATACATTCAGTTGTATTTGTATCGTAATGTGTGCGATGGTCTGTTTACATATAACAAAAACATTATTGATATACAGGGATTCTTTATCAAATAATATCGTTCACATTATGTATACAAGAATCGATATATACATGCATAATTTCAAAATGATATTCTTAGCCATCATCATCAACATCATCATGATACGAGGAGAGGTATAGATCCTGTAATCCTCGGTCACTTCTTCAGGGTTGGCCATTCAAAGTATGAGAAGAACATACATTTATAGATATCAGTTACGAATTGCAATTCACTTTTTTTTTAATGAATGTTGACAGAAAGTTTAGAAATCATGAATTATACCTTCTGGAGACATTTTTCAGAGTATAAAGCTAGTTAATGCACTTTGGATAGCCGACTGCAACTTGATCAACCGAATATCTTTAAATCCCTTCCAATAAATGCAATGATGTAAACGTGCTTGGGCTAGATTTGTCACTTGACGATATGATCGTGATATGCTAAAAATTTAATCTTGGCAGGTAGATAGAAACAGGTGTGAGTCATCGTGTGCATGCATGAGGCATCATACGGGGTAAAAAGACGGATGTGATCTACTTGTCAATTCTGTATGGTACAATGTTAGCCTTAAGCACGGTACAAAAGAATCAATTTTGAATCTTAAATAAAAGCATATTTCTGATATAAACAAATGTAAATTTATCAGAGAGGATATACGCTATTAAATATCCAAATACTAATTGCCTAATTCGTGAATGATGGACACTACACTACGCTACATTAAAAATACATTTACAAGCCTATTGCAGAGCAATAAAAGTTGTAAATTGAAAATGTTTTAAAATATACGAACAAATTGGTATTACTTTAATAATATTATTCAACCAAGATAAAGTAAAGTTTTAAAGCAAAACTTATTAGTGTAACATAAATAAAAACGTTGACCCCTTCGTTTTCTTTTTATTTTACAGTCTTGCGTATTGTTGTACACAACCCATAGAGATTCGATTTGAATGTTTGAAATTTGTAGAAATGACATGCTGACGAAAATTACGTCATCATGTTAAGATTAGTGGCATTTGAACAAAGTGAAATAAAAATGTACAAAGTCAATTCACGAATGCGCTTAGGCATTCTCTTGCAATACATCCCAAGCCTAGCTTTTTACCATTTGTACGCCCATGAGGGTCTTTTCTTTTTAGCGAACCTTAAATGGTATATGCCACCCACAAAATTTCCTTAAATATGAGGATATTTCTCCATACTTTCAGCGTATATAGGAGAAACTCAAGACAGTAAATTCATATTAATTTGATTGGTATCTTCAATGGAAGCAGGTCATCCCCTGACTCCTGTCACGCGACCATGCCATAAATAGATCAAGTGAATGGTCATACGGCCTATTTAGATTAAAAGTCGATCACTAATAGCTGCCTGATTATTGACACTTTTCTGCATACATGACAGTATATACACCATGTCTAAGCATGAGCGTTTCTTTCTAAAGTGGCCTTAGACTAAGAATTATGCACTTGCATTATGCATTCGTTTTCTGAAGGAAACATCTGGTGGGAAAGCTTTCTGTTAGTACAATCTTAGCTTTACACATCTTGAATCCAATAATGCCGCACAGCTAAAAGATTTGTCATTCGATATGTGAACGATAGCTAAGTGATCTAACGTCTATGTTTTCCCCTTCTTCTTCTTCACCCCCCCCCCCTTATTTGTCTGTTCTGCGTGTCATTCTTGTATTTCTCTTCCTCCTTTTTTCTGTCTCATCCTTAATCTTCGCAGAGGTAAATAGGGATCTGAGTACACTGTGTGTGTGTGTGTGTGTGTGTGTGTGTGTGTAGTGTGAGGCTGCGCGGGGAGGGGTTGGAGAATGGGATATGCAGGGTGTCTCCTGAATAAAAATGAAACCCAGATATAGGAATAAGTTATTCAATAATCCCACATTACACTTTGGACAATGTACACATCATTGACAAAAAAACTGTTTTCTCTTTTACATGACTATGCATAACTGATTTCAAGCAGCCTTAATTGCGAGAGACAGAAACCTAATCATTGTTAAAAAATATGTTTGTTTCATTATGGTTTAAAAAGAAAAGAAGTTTTAATTGGAATTATTAATTATTGAAAGTACACACCCCTTAATAGCTCTTTTTTGTTTGTTTAAAGTGTGACCGTAAACATAATAGTAGGATGACTGAGCAGGCAGCACACTCTGTAAGGCACATTGACATTTTGTTTGAGGAAATTAAAGGAGCTATACTTAGTGCAGTGGGGCTTTTAAAGGTAATGGATTTCCTATCAAATTGAAAGACAGTATAGGTTGGTTAACAGCTGTTATTTTTCTAAATTACTTTAAGGATTGGAGAATCATTGATAAAATTTGTTTACTTACATTCCGCCAAAAATCGAACAAAAAAATCACTCTAACTTGATTTTAAACCATTCTGACCTTTAATGGACCTTCGAATGCACAAATAAAGTTAAATGAACATTTCATTCAAGTTAAAGATCTACATAACTTACAAAGGCATGCCAAGTCATTCGAACTTGAGTAATGATTCGCGAAATTGATCTGTGATATGTTAGAAATTGCATGAAAATCCATTAACCTAACGAAAATAAACTCGCTCATTGTGCCACCTTTTTAAAATAATATCAAACATTCAATCTTCAAAAGCATTCTCACATTAATTCAACATAAATACCAGAAGGTACATCAATTGTGGAAAGTTGTAGTCCTGAAGCCTAGATTATCCATAATCATTATTATGGTGATGATTTTGATTCATACGTGTACAAGAAAGAAAATGTATATAGTCATTGGGGAATCTTGATGTTGCCGAGTACTATACTATAACCGAAATAACTATTAAATAAGTTTGAATTAGTATTACAATGCCTACAATATGTCTTTTAACTTGTTACTATTATTAATATAATGATACACATGTAATATTTTAACTTTCCAAGGAATTTACATGTTATGCTGATTTCTTTAGTAATGCTAGTAATGTTTGATCCTCTTGGTAATTTAAGTAATGTTAATTCTATTATTTATTTTTCTTGAAGTAATCTTGATTTGTGTAGAGCGCTTTGAAAATTTATGTCACAAGCGCTATATACATTTTTCGTATTATTATTATTATTATAACTATAGAAAAGGTGTATATATATATATATATATATATATATTATATAGCATATATATATGGTATCCATCTATCTTGTTTACATTTTGAACCATATTTTTTGTTGTTACTAGCCTTATTTTGTATTTACCATGCTGATTGAGGTCAGTGTCTGACTTCCTATCATTAATTACTTGACACACGACATAATTATGATTCTTACTTCTCATTCATCACTCTCCAATTAAATCATCTCCGGCTAACATGGAGAAGCCGCTCTGGCCACTAATAATAATCAATGCTCTCCATTGCAAAGCAGCAAAATAACTCGATCGCTTTATCTAGCAAGCTCGATTTTCTTTTCTTAATTAATCACATTAATTCTGTTTTGCCGTTACTGTCAAATCATTGCTTTGAAATTAATTACTAAATGATGTCATTGTAGCCTTATAGGCATACAGTGCTGATGAAGATTTTGGATTATTAAATCGCTTTTGTCAAAGTAGAGAGTTATCCTCTTTATGAACGATTGATTTAAAAACTACATTTTGGTCACTTCAGAATGCCATTCTCTATTTATAATACTCTTTTCTCTATATTGAACGAGTAAACACTCACATCCACACACGCCAAGTGATGTGAAATATATATAAATGTATATTTATTTAACATATTGACAGCGATCTTATTTGGATTAGGTGAATGGGGATAGCAAGCCATGACAAGATATTGGCAGACTTCCCTGTTGCATATATCCCGGTGCAAAGAATTGTAGGACACAAGTGAACATGATCAAAATTCTCATTAAATAATCAGTTTAATATCTCTCGTCTTTCCTACATCCTAAAATTGAGGTTGCTTCACGTAATATTGGCTAACTAAATCAGCATTAGCACTTCAGTCAAATTTGAGGAGAGGTCGAATTCGAATCAAGAAGGGATATTGAATTAGGAAGTGTGTAAGGAGTTGTTCACCGATAGGTAAACCTGTGCACTCGGTAGACCTTACTTCTAACTGTATGCATGTATACAGTTATATATTTAGCTGCGGATGTCTACATCTCCGCATTGCCTGTTCCCTGTTTTGTTTTTCTTCAAGATGTACAAAAAACTTTGTGTCCTTTTCTTTTAAACATACTGCGCCTCTTGTCTGGAATGCACTCCCTCAGGAAATATGTCAAACTAGAAATTTTAATGGATTTAAAAGGAACTCAACTCTTATTTATTAGCCAGTACGTAACCCCTGTATATTACGTGATCAAAAGAATTTCAATGTTTTGTTCCTTCTTCACTTATATATATATATATATATATATATATATATATATATTTGTTTCGTTTTGTATTGTTTTGTTTTTGTCCAGTAAATTATTTATGTACATAGTTATCCATTGCAAAAATATTTTAATTAAAACCTTTGGCACAGCCTCGACAAGTTCAAATTTATTTGAACTTTTGCAGTAACCCAAATTCCATTTGATTTCTTTACCTTTTAATGTATTGATCAGTGACCTTCTGATGTTCGTATAACTTGTATTTTTTTTCTTTTTTACACTTGTAATATCTTGTATATACATATATGTTTTTTATTGAATGGAATGAATAAATTTTGAATCTTAAGGCCTGCATTACAACCAAGGAAACAAACTGAATTGCAAGAAAGAAAACTCAAAGAAACAATTTGGTGAATGTATGACTTTTTTGGGGGAGGGGGGGGGGGCTGTTTTAGGGTTGTTCTGAAGAAAAAAAGTAATTTTGTTTGTAGAGACACACACAAAAGATGGCTCACATTTATTTCAGTGCCATTAGCAATTTCTTAATTAATGATTTAATGATTATCATTTTGTTAACCAATTTCGTTCAAAAATCCACATAATTCTCATTCATGCCAACTTCGTAGGTCTATCAAGGTTGGATCCTCTTTACCCTTTCCCGCCCCCTCGAAGTGTTAATCATTTTATTACTCATAGGTTATAGATATATTTAACAAAATACAAGAGCTGAGCATCATAGGACGAATAGTTAAGAGATTGGTGTTTGCAATGTACATATTTGAGCCTGAAGTAAACTTACCTGACCAAATTATTACAGACACCTGGACCTACTGGGTCAATGTCAGTTTGTCCTATAACATTCTGGTCAATCAGAGCTAATGCCAACAGTATCGCAGTCACAACATTCATATAAGACTGAAGTTTGCTCAACATCTTCCTTTATGTTGACTACTACTAAGCCTATAATTCAATGTTCCAAGTATCCGTATTAGTATTACGATTGCTTCAGGTATTAATTTGGTCCCAAATGCAGCTTTCCCTGCACTTAAGTAGTAGATGTCCACAATTGATCACAAAGACATGTGGAATTCATGATGAACACAGTATGTTATGATCTAATAATCCAGTAAAGTTGATAACTTTAACATCGATCTGCATCCAAAATAATCCAGCTTACAACCAGTCTCTTTTGATTAAACTGCAAATGATATTGAGGGCAATAGGATAGTTACTCACACAAGCCGACTGATGGGGGCAACCCAAATACGAATAGGAAGCTAGGAGAGTATGAGGGAGTGCACTAGTTATGTGGCTATAATATCCTCGCTTTCGGTCATGGTATGACGAATCATGCACAAGCCAGCCAGCTAGGGGGCGAAGAGAGGGCCCTCACATTATGTGGCTCATTCGTATTGTCGCTTGGTCCATTGCTATGAATCTTAATTGACCAATTGATTAGTAGAGAATTAGACAAATTGATTTTGTTCAAAGTGGTTAAACTATATGGTCATTAAACTTAGTCATAGGTAAGTACCTGGTCAGGGGAAGGGTGACTGCATATCCCTAGCCCAATATTCAACCCCTGAGTTTCTGAAGTATTTGACACTTTATAATGCGTACAGAAAGAAAATAAAACAATTTCGTCATCAAAATACATAAAATATGGAAAACAATCTCACTGCTAGAACATTGTATAAGAGGACATCAGTGTCTGAATATTATGGGTGTTGCCCAAATATACTCAGCCCCGGCCTCTTTTCCCGTTACGTCTGTGGACATAATATCGTATGATTATGTTGGATAAAACATTTAACCATGATGGATAAAATGAATAAATGGACGATGCGAACTGGGTTGACATAGTTGGGCTTTGGATCACATTCTATTGAATGGCCATTGATTATATATCGATATAAGGGACGTGCATCGAATTCTGAAACGGTTCAAACTTGCAATATTAGACATTATACTTGTGTAAGATACATGCAAGACGGGAAGAACCATAAATCAAATATTGATCGAGATATTTTTTGATATTCTTGTCAAAAGACAACTTAGTTGAATTCATTGTAACCGGATCAGAATTTCATCTCATGTAAATAGTGGAAGAGTTTCCAAAACATAAAACGCTTTCCATTTTAATAGGCTCATTACTCGCCAGACGGTTCTCGAGTATAAATGTGAAAAGGAAACCCCAATAGCAAAAATAATTACAACTTCTGATAAATAGCCGCGAACTAGGCAAGGCAACCGTAATTACGAGAGTGCTATTTTCAAATAGAGTTGATAGATAATGGGTTGAGGAATGTTCTGATAGACATTAAACGATTGAGGTACCCCTTATACTGGATGTATCATCGACGTGTTGGATGTGTGTGTCACACACTTTCTCTGCGTCACACTTCCTGAAGTTAACCCAAAAGGGATTTCTGGAAACTCCGGTACGAACATGATTTGAAAGGACCTCTAGCATATTGTCACCGAGGTGGGAAGTGGACAGGGTGGAACTACTTGGATCACGTTCACATGACTTTGTAAAATTTCGAGTCCTTGATCAGGTAAAATAAAATAAATGTTCAGATCTTAGTCATATATAATTATACAAGCTACAGTCTTTTCCCTTTTTAAAGTCGCCCTACCGCCAATTGTTATGGTTTAAAGGGATGGAAAACCTTAAATGTTCTGAATTTTTCGAATGAGTATTCTAATGAATAGAAGTTAAAAAAGATTGTAACATAATCTTTGTCCGCGAGTCATTTCAAATGTAAGACGAGGTGCTTTCAAATACATGTGAAAGTGATTCTATTAGGGGTAGGGACTGATTTAATAATTGACAAAAAAGTATTAATGAGTTTATTTAGTTTCCTGAATCATGGGGGAAAAAACACAAATATAGTTAAGAAATAGGGCATATCCTGCTGATATGTGGTTATTGGTCTCAAGTTCATGAAGTTTATTTTCGGTTGATGACAATCAGTTTGAAGCGAAATTTAGTGTAAAGGGTTAATCAACATTATGATTAGTGGGATAATGGCTGAAATAGCAATGGAGGCTTAAAGGTAATACAAAGTTTTGGTATGGGGTCATGAATTTGGTTCAAATGAACATATTGGAAGCATATGCGACTGGACTGTACAATATTCAATGATCGTTGTTGCGGTTTATGTTGTATAGCTTCCTCTCAAGACTGATATTACTTTAGCTTTAAAACAATGTTTCTTGACTACAATTGACCGATTTACTATTCCCGTTTGGAAATGATATATTGAAACTGCATATTCTGAGATTTTCATGGTCGCAGCTATTATGTAATGGCATTATTGGCGCTATTTGAAATGTTTGAAATTTACCGGGAGGATCGGTAATTTTTTGATTATTCAATTCCTCAAAAAGAAGAAGAGTTTTAGGGGCTAAATTTTCTAAATTTTCTAGTGGTTATAATACATCCACAGGAGCATCCAAATAAATCAAATTTTCAAAATTACTATCCATCCAATTTTCAAAATTTCCCCAAACTTTGCATTACCTTTAAAGGGTCGTTTACTAGAATGGTTTACTAGATCGATAACGCATAACAAATGCTGTATTATTATTATTATCATTATTATTGATATAAAATAATATATTTTCATATCATATCTCACGTATAGGATTACCCCGCAAACACACATACGAGCACACCCGCACAAACACGTACAATACACACACCCCATATGTTGGAGAGCCTAATTTCACTCTCCAACATCTAATGCTCAGGGCATTTCGTCTACTACTTAAAGTCTTACACCATCCCCATGTCTAATATCAGCAGAAAGAATCTTAAACCTTCCCCTTTCTAAAAGGTCTTTCACCCTGCACTGATGCCCCAAGAGCCTTACACCCTCCCCTTTCTAATGCTTATAGAGTTTTACACCGTCAATTATCTAGTGCTTACAGAGACTTACACAATCCTCTGTCTAATACCTGCAGGAAGATTTATTCAATCTAAGCCTTATCAACTCTTACACCCTGCCTTGATGCCACGGGAGCCTTACACCCTTCCCTATCTAATGCTCGAAGAGTGTTACACCCTTCCCTATATAATGCTAAAAGAGACTTACACCCTCCTCGAACAATGTTTAAAGAGCCCCAAACCACCCCGCCCCCTTATTTGATGCTTGCAGAGTCTTACACCCAGGGGCGGATCCAGCCGGCGGCAGGGGAGGGGGCCCAATTCGTGAGAAAATATTTAGCGGCGAAATGGCCGGCCGATAATTCGCTCAGTGGGGGGGGGGGCGCACTCCCCCCCCCCCTCTCCCCTAGAGCACCAGGGGAGGGGGCCCATTTCCAATAAAAGATAAAATAAGCGATAAAATTGTACACGTTTTTTCCACATGGGAGGGGACCCCCCCCCCCCCCCCCCCCCCCCCCCCCGCTGGATCAGCCACTGCTTACACCATCCCCTGTTTAATGAGAGCCTCACAGACTCTTTTTCTAATTATTTATGAATTTTACTCCCTTCTCTGCTTAAAGGTAATGCAAAGTTTTGGGAAATCTTGAAATTTGGATGGATAGTAATTTTTGAAAATGTTGATATATTTGGATGTTCCTGTGGATGTATTATAAGCACTAGAAAATTTAGCCCCTAAAACACTTCTCTCCTACCTTAATATGTTTAAAGAGCCATACACCCTCTCCTACCTTAATATGTTTAAAGGGCCATACACCCTCTCCTACCTTAATATGTTTAAAGGGCCATACACCCTCTACCTTAATATGTTTAAAGAGCCTTACACCCTCTCCTATCTTAATATGTTTAAAGAGCCTTACACCCTCTCCTACCTTAATATGTTTAAAGGGCCACACACCCTCTCCTACCTTAATATGTTTAAAGAGCCATACACCCTCTCCTACCTTAATATGTTTAAAGGGCCATACACCCTCTCCTACCTTAATATGTTTAAAGAGCCTTACACCCTCTCCTACCTTAATATGTTGAAAGGGCCTCACACCCTCTCCTACCTTAATATGTTTTAAGAGCCATACACCCTCTCCTACCTTAATATGTTTAAAGGGCCATACACCCTCTCCTACCTTAATATGTTAAAAGGGCCATACACCCTCTCCTACCATAGTATGTTTAAAGGCCATACACCCTCTCCTACCTTAATATGTTTAAAGAGCCTTACACCCTCTCCTACCTTAATATGTTTAAAGGGCCATACACCCTCTCCTACCATAGTATGTTTAAAGGCCATACACCCTCTCCTACCTTAATGTGTTTAAAGAGCCTTACACCCTCTCCTACCTTAATATGTTTAAAGAGCCTTACACCCTCTCCTACCTTAATATGTTTAAAGGGCCACACACCCTCCCCTACCTTAATATGTTTTAAGAGCCATACACCCTCTCCTACCTTAATATGTTTAAAGGGCCATTCATCCTCTCCTACCTTAATATGTTTAAAGAGCTTTACACCCTCTACCTTAATATGTTTAAAGATCCTTACACCCTCTGCGATCTTAATATGTTTAAAGAGCTTTACACCCTCTCCTACCTTAATATGTATAAAGAGCCTTACACCCTCTCCTACTATAGTATGTTTAAAGGCCATACACCCTCTCCTATCTTAATATGTTTAAAGAGCCTTACACCCTCTCCTATCTCAATATGTTTAAAGAGCCTTACATCCTCGTACATGAGAATTATGCATTTTCTTCATCACACATAAAACAAGAGTCATGTAACTTACAATAAATATTGAATTCCAAACTTTTATTCATAAAATGTCCTTCCACTTGCTATATAACAAACATATGATCTATAGTCAACATCACTCACCCATTAGGTATAAATGCAGTTTTTTATCCCCTGCCAGTAAATCACATTGAATAATATGAAATCTTTTTGTGTGCAAAGGAACCAACACTTATAATCAACACTGAAGTGCTTTATAATGATTCAACCTAATTAGAGTACGGTACATGTATTATATTTTTGTTCTGGCATATTATTGATTGATATAAGTACACCCTGTTTACAGTTATTCTATGATGAAAGATATTTCGGATAATCTAAATCTTTGAGCCAAAGAAGTGGATCTCGAAATGGTATTTTTTACTGGACAGGAGAGTATTCATATGGCAACCTCTCTAATTAGGGTAATCAACATTTCTTGCATAGTTTTCCTAACTTTTCAAGTCAAATGAATAACCTCTGATCAAAACATGTACCGGTTTTGTAATTTTTCATGTACCGGTATGTGAAAAATTGATTTGTCCCGATTTAAAGGTAATACAAAGTTTTGGGAAATGTTGAAAATTGGGTGGATAGTGAATCTTTACAATTTTGATATATTTGGATGCCCCTGTGGATGTATTATAAGCACTACAAAAATTAGCCCCTAAAACAGTTCTGTTATTCGAGAAAAATTGAATATAAAAGTTTACCGGTGCTCCCGGTAAGCGGACACTTTTTTTTTTGGTCTCGAAATTTGGAGAAAAAAAATTCGTTGAGGGGGGGGGGGGGGGTGTAAGGTCACCGTTTTTAGGTCAGCCATGGGGGGGTTCAACCCCCCCCCCCCCCACCCCCGCCTTGTGTATGCGCCTGGTGTGCATCACTGATGAACAAGGCAGTTTGGCTCTTATCCATTTATATATATCAGCTTCAAAACTATTTGGAGGATTCTAGAATCATAATAAAAGTCTCTAGAAACTTGTGTATGCTGCTTCATAGTACATTTTATATTAGGTAATTATGATCTGATTTGAATATTAACCATGTATATCAGAACAGAACAATAAACTATCATTAACAAATTGAGTAAAGTGCGAAAACATATCTGGTCATGACCCCCATCATTGCTTTTTTCTATTTTTCTTGCTTTTTCTTTATATTTTTTAATATATTTCTCTCACCCAAATCATATACCTTGTAAGGAAATTATCAAGTGTTATGAACAGCTATGTAGTGCATCAATGTTTTATTTTGCTTCAATATCCTAACTTAGGTTTTGTTTTGGGTGTTGTGTTTTTTTTTTGGGGAATGAAAATGGTAAAGATAAGCTCTACATGCTTTTAAGATAACAAGCTACAGACTGCTTTTATTTAGCAATTCATGATTCTCCTTGGAGAGAAAGTTTTTCAAAAAAATTGTGCCGTTTTCTTGGTTCTATATTTCATCCAGAATATGACTTTGTCTACAATATGCCTCTGCCTAAATTCACTTCATTATCATTAACATTGTTCCACTAAATAATTTCATTTTAATATAATTGCACATTTATGAACTATTAATGTTCTCATATATATTGACCTTCGACCTAACCTCTCCAACTCTACTCACTTCATCATTTAAAAAGTTCTTAAGAAGTTGCAATAAAAAAAAGACATCATTGATTTTTAGGTCGGGAGGAGGGAAGATTTTGTGTCCTTGGCCTAATTACTCTCAGATTTAATCACTTCTACTTACACGGTTCATGCACATTATAGTTTGAAGTCCAAATAAAGAACAAATTACAAATGAAATACATGTTTCCTCTCCTGATGGTGCTAAATATTAGATGACGGTATGAAAATATATACCTGTGATGAGTCTTGTAATAAGTACTGCCATAACAAATATTGAAATTTGACAGACTTGACTTCAAAATCAGTTCACACTTAAAACCGTTCTGGGGATATAATGATTAAAGATAAAGTTTAAGAAAACAAGAGACTATGGTGGTAACTGTCTCTTGCACAACCAGGGGGATCATCAGTTGATCTTCCACCTGTCGTCAGTGGTTATGAACAATACTCCCTCTTGGTGGTGAGCCAGCAGTGCAATGCAACACCTCCCCCTGGTCCAAAATAAGCATTGTTTAAATTGTCGGGTCGCTTTCTGCTTTTGGACGTACTTGGTCCAAATTCACGCAGAATAACATTTGACCTACATATAATATATATATATATATATATATAGACTTTACGCTTACTTATTTACTTGATATTCCTATGATAATACACACTAAAGTTTAGAGGTCTATGCAACTAATCGTACATGAAATGGTGTGATAAATAAAGTACACATATTCCATAGCACAATGGAGTACAGGACAGTCAGTCAAAAGCAAATGGGAGTGAAACTTCTGAAAGGTATAGATCCCAGGTGTAAAAAGTTAGATCTGAGCGATATAAAAATCCACCATATACACATTATGAACTTCTTAGAGTATCACATTTCACATTATCCTTAAAGAGATAATTACACTAAAATTGGGCTCCTCTCTTAGGAGCCAATTCTTGTACCAAATCAATGGTTAATGTGTATAGAGCAGATTTACAATAAACAATATCAATAATCTTGAGTTTTTAGGAGGAGTTATCTTCCAAGCATTCCCGCCAAGGTCATAACCAAAATGCATGTACAAACATAGATTTGAGAAAGTGTGAAAAAACAATCTGATAAACGGAAAGAAAGATAGATATAGATTTTTAAAGTTGTGATGTGTCACAGTCATATTAGATATCACCTAATTACCCTCACGATCACCTCTTTCATTTGTCTGTGCACATAATTAGAAATATCCCTTCTTTTGGAAGTTGATCAACACATAAACCTATGTCATAAAGGAGGCGGGTAAAAAGTATTTCCAATATCATATCTATGGCATAAGAGAAAAAAACAGTAAATCATAAAAATGGTCATAACAAGCAAATAGTGAGCTGCTTGGAAGAAAAATCAATCAAATGGAAATGGACATCTATGACTTTTCTTATTCTTCATCAAATCGTCCTAAACTTTTTCTCCTGTTCATCTCGTTTCAAGGCCAAGATGATGCCTGAGTGGACTTTCATATGGGGAACGTATGAACGGTACATAACAATAAGAACAGAGATTGAAAGCCACTTTAGTGTTAAATTTTCGACCAAGACTCAGCAAATAAGTCTTTGAAGGAAAGGGAATACAGTTCTCATCTACAAAACTGACTCTTTAACATAAACTATATTGAGTGATCTTAACATACTTTCTTTGCAAAGTGGTCCATATTAGTTAAACATAAATAGACTTTTGTTTTCCCTTAAGCTCATCTTCATGTAAGTAATGCCTCGTAGATTCCTCTCATATTCCTTCTCATTGAAACCTTTGCTTGAGTCCTGTGGCTTTAGAGAAGAAAACTATCAGCCTTTAATTAGTGGACAGACCTTGGGCTAACTTGGGTGGTTCTCATATGACTGACAATCTAACCCATGTCATTTGGATTATGGGTGATACATTATGGAGTAACTTTCATTTGAATTATTCATTAAGTGTCTAGAAGGTTACTAATAAAATCAAACCATTACTCATCAATGATTATCTACTGGAGAAGAAAAAAAAACACCAGCCGGAGAAAAATGTCAAAATATGATAAAATATCTGATCTGTGAGCTTTAGTTCAGGTCTTTTCCAAGTAATCAATTGTTCCACATCATGAATCCAACCATAAGAATAGGATTTGTAGTGCATCCAGTGATACAAAGCTAAAGTAAAAGCTTACAAGATGACCTTCATAATGTATGGAAATCCTTCAGAAGGGTTTGACGTCTCTTCTCTGCAACATCCATTTGATTTTCCAAATCCTGTAACGAAACAAAATATTCACATAAGTGAATTGGTCATATTCAGGAGATCAATAAATGTATGACAGCTCCAAGATTTCAAAATTCTTATTCACTCCAAATCTATGCTGAATATGGACATAGCACATATTCATGTGAGCATTCAATATGAATATACAAATGCAATCATTCATTTTATTTGTTGCTTTTAAGCTATTGAACATGTTGAATAATTATACTGAGTTAGACAGTACCACCTGTGCGCTTAGAGATGCCTGTTTAAAGCGCCCTCTAAATGTAATTATTATTATTATTGTTATTACTCACTTTCACTTCAATGTATTTTTCATTCCCAGAATTCATCTTGCACATTACACTTGATATGACCAGTTGCTGATCATTGTTCTGACTTACCCCTCGGTCATAGGTCTCTGCCCTCTCTACTTTGTTCCGACTTACCCCTCGGTCATAGGTCTCTGCCCTCTCTACTTTGTTCTGACTTACCCCTCGGTCATAGGTCTCTGCCCTCTCTACTTTGTTCTGACTTACCCCTCGGTCATAGGTCTCTGCCCTCTCTACTTCCTTGTTCTGACTTACCCCTCGGTAATAGGTCTCTGCCCTCTCTACTTTGTTCTGACTTACCCCTCGGTCATAGGTCTCTGCCCTCTCTACTTTCCACGATAGATTCTCAATCTCTGCTTCTAGTTGGGCCTGCTGGTATTCAAACAGCTTCTTACGTGGGCCAGCATCCATGAAGTAGGCATAAGGGTACGTATACTGGAGAGTGTATCGACACTGTACATAACAACAAGAGAACAAATACCATGAAGATGAGCATTGAGGCATGATGGTTAGATGACACAAACACTTACATGCACTATATAGAATGAAATGCATCTTCAGCTGTCAATACCTACACCTCGATTCATGCAGATAATTAAAACTTTTCAAACAGCATCTCACAATATTTTGATAAAATGTTGTCTTTGTGTAATATGCACATACAACATTTTTGTGTAAAATAGTGTATTCCCTGGCCCCATCTTATAAGGATTTACGACTGATCCAAATCAATCCTAAATCAGTCTCCTATCTCTTATGTACATAGTTGCGATTGATATCAACTCTTTATAAGACGGGGCCCTGATCTCTTCTTACAGCCCCTCTAAAGTGTTGGAAAATTGATTGCAAAATTCACATAAATTGTATCATAATGTGAAAAAGGATGTCATTTAATACACATTTCGGCATAGATTTTCCCGCCCCCAAAAATGTATTTGAAGACAAATATATTGATAAAAGAATACATAACTTGGGTTTTCTGTTGTACACAGAAAACTTAAATTTTGTATTCTTGAAACACAATTGTTTTGAAAATCCTTGCAGAAATGTGTCTTAAATGACATGCCCTTTCACATTATGATACAATCCAAGTGGAATTTCCAATTAAATGTTAGGGACTCCCAACAAATAAGGCGCTTTAACAAATTAGATTATAATAGGAAGACAATATTTATTATAAAGTATTACAGTTAGATGGAATAAATACCTTTGCTAGGAGCGAAGCAGCATCAAGGAGGTATTGCCAATCAATCCATGTACCCATGTTGTTCATCACTTTTTCTTGTATCCTTTCATTGAGTTTGTTTAGTGTCTGTGCCTCAAGACGGAGACTTTTGGAATGATTTTCCCACTAATATAAAAGAATGTGTAATAATGCACATTATAAACCAGTATCAAGTGCATCCAATCAACAAAACCTGAAAACAAAACTATTAATTTGACAAACTGTGTGCATTACTCACTCTTGCATTTGATTATTGTAAGCTGAAGTACTATGCTGAAATATCATGCATCAATACATGTGTAATTAACTCCCATCATTTAGAAAATAACATATTTAGAAACCTACTTGTACCATATTTGGGTGAAACTAGAATAATACCGACCGTGACATATAACCTTTAAACTCGTAACAGGCTTTTTCAACAAATAAACCAAACAACAGCTTGCCATAGCATGCATTATAGTCAACATGTATAAGTCTCATTCACTCCATATACATTCTAGGATTATCTTCCACAGTGAGTAAATTTAAAACATAACAAACACTTACGATTTTCTTTTTTTCACCCATTTTTTAATTTGATTTTATTGCTGCCTTTCATTCTCCCGAACCTAATATGCAAATGGATATATATATATAACCTCAAACAATACTGCAATAAAAGGATACCTCTATTGTATTACACGTTGCACGTTCAGTCATGGTTTATAGCATGTTACTCACTCTCTCAAAGTAGAAGAGGTATTTCTTTAGAGCCTCCCTGGCCTTCACGTTAGCAGATTCATTTGCAATGTTAGGATTTTCCTTGTATCTACTGCACTCATAGAACTCACTTCCATGTGACTTCCAATCTAGATAGGCAAAATTAAATAAATCCAAATAAATTATAAGCTAATACATTGGTAATGTTTTCAAGTCTTCTCTAAATCTTGTCGAACAAAGTTTGGGCTGAAGCCATTAGTGGCAGAGTTAATTTATTTTTCATTTCAGTCTGATAATATTTGAATGAATTTAAGTCTGGGTGCGGCCTATGCGCAACAACAGTCAAAATAGGGTCATCTCGAACCCTGAATCGGCGGTCAAAAAAGCATGTATGTTAACATATGGGACTACAATTACTATACCAGTTAATGTACAATGGTACAGGACATTTCTAGAATAACTGCACACATCTTCCCAACAATTTTGTGCTACATTGTTGACATGAAGTTTTGTCAATCTCGTAAATAAACTTTGTAATTTATTTTTCAAACAAAAGCTACTGGTAGATCTATCTAAGTTCATGCCATTGTATTGCTAAAGTAGGGACCACAACACAGGTACCGCGCAACGTCACTGTGCATCTACCGTCTGCAAAAAAGTCTATTTTATTTGTATCCATTTCAGGCAATTTTGCATTGCATTGTGGTAGGTAGGGGTATATATCGGATACCAAAACTGCCTGCGATACAATAGCTACAACTAGCTTCAAAATCGACAAAAGATTTGCTAAATCACAAACATTTCTGAGGTGTGAATTCAACTTAAAACTTAGTTCTTTCTTATAAAATTTATAAGAATATTGATGAATTTTGTATCAGTTTGTATAAAAAATAGTTTTTGATTGGTCTTGTAGCGTTGCACCCTCCCCCTCCCCCCCCCTTTTTTTTCCCTTCCATTTGTTTGTGTTTTTGTTGTCTACGAAATGTCAAAATCAGGGTTGCGGTCTATACGACACTGCGGCCTTAAAGTAATAAAAATCTTAATGTCAATTCAAACCAGAGAAAAACTAGATGGAACTTCGACTGCGTGCAGTCGAAAATGATGCCTCCGTCATAGAGCAATTTTACAAACCAAAACAGAAGAAATTTTTCAAATTCAAGTTCAATTGTAATCCATTAACAGGTTCTCAGAATATCGCGATTACAAGCAATTTCTCATATAATGACCCTTTGATCTTTGACCTCATGACCCTAAAATCTACTCAGTTCATTGGCTCTGCAAGATGTCCCGAGTTAAATAGTAATCCATCTGTCAGTTCTAATGAGAATGCGTTCACAAGCTATTTTTGCATACATAATGAGCCCATGACCTTTGACCCAAGAATCTACTCAGTTCGGTGGCTCTGCAAGATACATACATGACCAAAGTTTGGCAGGAATCCATCAATCTGTACTAATGATAATGCGATCACGAGCTGTCTTTGCATACATAATGAGCCATATGACCTTTGACCTCGTGACCCCAAAATCTAATCAGTTCATCGGCTCTGAAAGATACATACATGACCAAAGATTGGCAGGAATCCATCAATCGGTTCTTCCAACAACGCGATCACAAGCTGTTTTTGCATACATAATGAGCCCTGTGACCTTTGACCTTTGACCTCGTGACCCCAAAATCTAATCAGTTCATCGGCTCTGCAAGATACATACATGACCAAAGTTTGGCAGGAATCCATCAATCGGTTCTTCAGATAACGCGATCATGAGAACAGGACGTACGGACGTACGTTCAGACGTACGTACGGACGGACGGACAACCCGAAAACATAATCCCTCCGGATACTTCGTAACGGAGGCATAAAAATAAAAATTTCTTTGGTAAGTCATTCAATGGGGGGGAAGAGGAAGTTATTTGTGATGCTAACTCCATTGTTAATTATTTTGTATAGAAACATTTACATCATCATACAAGCCGATACTTTTAAGCAGGATCTAACATTTATTCTTCCTTGCATTTCCTTTGTCATTGAGATAAAAAACAACAACATTGATTTCATGAGTGAAGATAAAATGCCTTGACTGAGGGCAGGTACATATGGCATGTATTCAGACCCTTCATCTCCCAATCAACATGTAAATGAATGACCAGACCATATACTTTACACACTAAACAACATTGTAATGATACTCACCACCAAGGCACATCCAACAGAAGTCATGCTTACACCTGGAGCATTGCTAAAAGTAGATCAAATCAATAAATACTTATCAAAATATCAATCTTCAAATGCATTTTGATCTTGAATACGATGTTGTTTTTGTAGTCATTTTATCATATTATTAAAGAAAATGGCAATAATATATTGGGAACTGTTTCGTTGCAAATATGAACAGTTGTGAATTGTGTCACTTGGAATCTACAAAATTATAAGAAATTGTTTAAATCATGCTGAAATTCACAAACAATACACAGCACTGGCCTGTTTTTACTTCTTTAAAAAATACATAAGACTTACCATATGATTACAGCCTCCATTCTTCTCAATGCAGATGTTGCATTTTGGACACTAGAATACAAATAAAAATGTCAAACAAATGAAAGTCTAATAGCTCAATACTATAACTAATCATTGAAACAAAACTACACCTATTAGTATTAGGCTACTTTTTAAAATCAATATAATGCATGGAAGTAAGATTTTGGGGACAGCAAAAAAAAAGGAATTCCATAGAACTTAACTCTAGTTGTGTTTATATCTGTTCAATAGAATTAGAATTGTCATTCTTATTAAAAATGAATATTAATGTTTAGTCAGTAAATGCGGGTTATACAGTATATCTATAAATCTTTTACCCAAATCAAATTAATCTCTTACTAAATTGAGTCACTCGCATGAAATAGATCAAGTGATTGCACAACTAGATGGTTCTCACTAAAATCAAAGTGGATACACGAATCACCTTCATTTTTATCTGATGTAAAAATTTGATACTTATTTCATTCCTTCAATATTTTCCTTTCATTTCTTCAATATGTACTTAATTCTAACAACATGTACAGTAGACTTTGTGTTTCTCATTAGATTCATCATTGTCTTTGTCTGAATAGTTTACAGAAACTGATGTGTTTAATCTATCAAAATAATTTATTAAAACCATTTCTTTACATATACGTCAATTGAAAAAAAGTTCCCAATAGTGAGAAAGAATCCTTGTAAGACTCACATCTTTGGTATGTGCACTGATGTAGTTTGCAGTTTCAGAATCATCGGCACATTTGGTCAGCCACATCTTGATAGTCTCACATCCAGCAGGTGCATGGTATGACTCACTACACTTAAAACTTGTCAAGACAAAAATCAACATACAGGCAAGAAGTTAAAATCACTTTCTTCTAAACTGCTCTATGGTCAATTCAATACAGTAACTTATTTATAACGTTGTTAAACCCTGCACCGAAAACTAGATTTTACCTAACTCTTTTCTTAATCAGAATGTCTACTCTGCAAAACTTCATTGACGCATACCTAAACCAAAAGTATGACACATTAGATTCATTGACGCAAACTAAAGGGGGGAGGGGTCCTTGTAATCCATTGTAAGAAGCAAGTTGTAGAAAGATTTCCTCTGATGCTGAGAGGTTCTCAGCGTGTGTCATGCTAACCTTTCTTATTTCTTATAGGCACAACACTGGATTTGATAAACGTGGAACATACCACCAAGAAGTTTTGCAGAGTAGACATTCAACTCTCTTCCTTTTGACCTCGTCTGCATGTACAACCATAGAACAGTCAGCACCAGGACAGAATCTGAATTTCCAGTGACTCTGCAACAGTAATGAACAAACAATGGAACATCATTATTAGCTTCTTTCCTCCAAATGAAAATATTGGTCTAATACTTAAAAATCATGTTATTGTGATGTATTGAACAATAGGAATACAGCATAAAGGCATTGGTATTAATAAATGTTGATTGTGAGCTCAGAAATATTTGCATACACAGAGAAAAAAGTTTATCAACACTAAATATGTGATTGTTTCAAATACAAGAATTATTGAACAATATTAACTGCACTACATGTACTGTAGGGTTGTGGAGGGAGGTATATTTGACACAAGGAAAGTAACTGATTTCTGACCAAGATACAAGTTGTACAGAAAGTGCTTTATATTACATGTACTACTACTACTGCTACTGCATCTTGTGGTGGTAGTGTAGTAGCTTTAATAGTGGCTAGACTAAAAGATATTGATATCAAATACAGTTCTGTAGCATATTTCATAGGAAGCCATTTCATACAACTACTACATTTTGATGTTATAGTGGTAGTAGAATAGCTGTAATAGTGGCTAGACTAATATATATACTAACTACAGCTCTGTAGCTTACTTCATTTGAAGTTATTTCATTGAAATATGGCCTTATTATTGGCTCAGTCAGTAGAGGTTGTGGGTTCGAACCCCGGCCGCGTCATACCAAAAGACGTTAAAAGATGGGAGTTGTTGCTACCTTGTTTGGCGTTCAACAATAAGGGATAGGGCAACGTCGATCTGGCGCTGCTCAGTGGCTGCCGGGCTCACGATCAATTGGGCAAAAAGAATTTCCATTTTTGGTTTAACTTAATAAAATTTGGAGTGTATTTTAATAGATTATTATTATTATTATTATCAACATGAATCAATTTACAATACCTTGATGTAATCCCTGAAGGCAAATTGTTCATATTTCTGCTTCATGATGTCTGACTTTAGAAGAGACAAGACAAATTCCTCTGGTGTTCTCATGTGGCACTCATTAGCCATACAACGGATTTCTGAAAGTAGAGGAAACAAAAAAGATGAAATATAAACAAATGTGAGTCTGCATACTACTCAGATTATCAATATATAATAGAGTTAGTTCCACTTCATCAAAACTAATTTCTGACTGGACATTTAAAATATTTCATAGAGGAGAGATAAGGTTACATGCTTTACTTGTAAACAAAGCAGCCTATGATGTAAAAAGAAACTTGCATGTCCGTGTGAGTCAAACACTGGAGAAAAAAATTCTGAAAACTTGTATTTGCCTTAGAAGGGGGAGGGGGTGTTCCAAGAGTGGTGCACAGTGTGACAACCACAGCCATGCTTACAAGTACAGTCCAAAGGTTAGTACTGTACAATCATATACTAATCTTTTGCAAGGCAGGCTTAGTTGGAAATCTAGAATCAGACATTTCACATCCCTGTTTTCAATTTTAATTTTTTTTTTAAGATTAAAGAAATATCATTACATGATCTTTTTATATCAAGTTTTAGAACCAACTGTGTGTATTTATCAAATCCAAAGCAACTCGATTATAACCCATGGCTTTGAATACATACAATTCTGACAAATACCCCCAGAAGACTGAATAATAAACCTAGCTAAGCACAAACCACTCCTACGCACATGCCGTGTGAATAGACCTATTAGGGTATCATTTTATGATTGCTGTTATTGATATACAGCACTAAAATACAGGGTTTAATCACAGGCTTGACATATTCTTTTGATATTTACCCAAGTCCTACTAATCTTGCACCAGTGTATCACAAATCATATGTTTGGAGCTAGAAGGGCATGAACTAATGTTAACACATAGTTAATGTCATTCTGGCTCTGAACAAGTCAAACCACCTTGTACATCAGAATGAAAGTAGGAAATAGTTTAAGCAAGAAAAAATTAAATTCTATGGTAAAACCTTATACATGTAGGCTAGCACTATGAGTACATTTATTTGGTATACCTATTGCAGTTCCATCGGTGATGCGGAAGCTGAGATGTGTAATCCAGCAATCACAACAAAAGAAATGTCCACATGATAAAGCCCTCAGTTCATCTTTGGTTTTGACTAAGGTGCAGACTGGACAGGTTGTTCTGGCAGGTAACACCAATTCCTACAATATGAAACATCACACTCACTTTATAGCATGTTAAATAAAATAAAAACAAAACATTCAGCAACTGGCATGTACCTTTACACCTTTACACTTTAAATCGTGCAAAATGCAGTTAAACTCCCCCTCCGCCCGCCCCCCCCCCCCAAAAAAAAAAAGCAATATTTGTTATATTCTTGCCTCTGCAGCTTCCCCAACATACTACTAAAACAATTGAGAATAAACAACTGGTTTCCTTGTAAGCAATTGCTTTCCTTGACTTCTAATAGCTTACAATTTTATTCTGGGTACAGAGATATTTTGCTGATAACAAAAATCAAGGGTCTTGTTCTCTTAAAGAAGTACTTGCTACATTGGTGAATGATTTCTTGGATAGGGATAATTGCATATCATCATCATGTATGTATTGAAGATCCTCACAAGGAACCTTAGCTCTCTTAATGTTATGGAGGGTTTTAGTAATCTTTGGGGCATTTGGAATACCCTAATTTTTTTAAATCTAAGCTCTTGTGTAGCTGATATTTCTTTTTAAACAGATACAAAAACAAACAAAATGTGAATTTCAATCATAAATTTTTTTTGTTACATCGTTGGATTGGTGTATTGAGCGCTATATAAAAAAACAGATTATTATCATTATTATTATCTAAAAGAGCCAGGCAGCATCAACTCATATACCCAAGTTACACAACACCTTTCTCACCACCATGTTTACATGATGTTGGTGTAACCTCTTATTTTAGTGTAACTCTACGATTTATAAAAAGATTTTTTTGAATATTGATGTAAAAATGAGTGGATACCTGAGGTAGAGGAGCAATGAAACTTTTATCAGCTCTTGGAAGGATGCCGGTCTCGACAAGAATGTTGGCAATGTCCTGATCAGTTCTGTAATGAAAAATGATATAATAACAGTATCCTTTCACAATCCACTCACTAGCTTCTCTAGTTATATTGGTATACCTTATATAAATTACCTTACATAAATTACCCGATAAATAATGCTCATGTCCTACTAAAGTTTCTATGCAACACTGGGTTAAGCTTAGTCTTAAGTCAAATTAACAAAAGAATTTGAGCACCAGATTTAACTTAGTACAGTCGTTTATGGAGCAGATATTATACATATTCATGCATACTATTGATGTATAGCACCTTTGATGTACATGTATCTTCAAAAGCACTCCATGCAATGTGTACAGGATATGTGTTGTTTTTGTGTGATCATATCTTAATGACAGAGTTCTTGAGCTGAGATTCCACAAGTTTCAGTCATCTTTTCAAAATACCGCAATATGGTGTTTCAAAATGTTTTAAGCTAATTATAATGAAAGGATGGTTGCACTTAGTTTGAAGAGGTTAAGGCTAAAGCAACAGTAAAATTTAAAACAATTTAATGAAAACTTGTCAAAACCATTACGTTCAAAATTATATATTTTTGTATAGATACGTACCTCTTCTGAACTTCTGCTAGGTCCCAGTGATGTGCCATAAGTAGAGCTCTTGCAACTCTAGGCTGGACCTGCAACATCAAGTACACATTACACTCTTTAAATAGTAAGACTAAAGATTTTCAATTAAAAAAAATTAAAAAAATACTAAGTAAGCGTCCATTATAGTCTGTCTATGTCAGCAGTCAGCAAATACATGTATGGTGGTGAAAAACAGGGAATTTGGAAACCCTTTCCTTTCCATTTATGGAATCTTATACTTCCATCTCTTTTAACATTGTTCTTTTCTTAGAGCTTTAACAATCTGATGAAACATTCAATTAAACAAGAAAAATGTCAGAACAGCTAATCTCAGTATCCAGTAATTCAGCTTTATGTACAGCATAAAATCTCTCAACACATTTGTTACATAAAACAACTTGAAAGTTGTTCATTTGGTTACATCGTTCCACATGTTATGCTTAGATTAATGATATTACAGTAAATATCCTGCATCAAAAATGTATTGGTTTTTGATTGGTTAAATGTGTGTCACATGATCAGAAATAAACACACTATTTTCCCAAGCCCGAAACTCTTTAAACAAATCATTATCTGATAATTTGTTATTAAATTGATAAATTTTATTAAAATTTAAAATGTTTTTGTATTTTTAAATCAATGAAAAACTAGATAAATGATGCCTCCGTCATAGAGCAAGTTTACAAACCAAAAAGTAATTTCTCATATAGATATATGACCCTTTGATCTTTGACCTCATGACCCTAAAATGTACTCAGTTCATTGGCTCTGCAAGATGTCCTGAGTTAAATAGTAATCCATCTGTCAGTTCTAATGAGAATGCATTCACAAGCTATTTTTGCATACATAATGAGCCCATGACATTTGACCTTTGACCTCATGACCCAAGAATCTACTCAGTTCATTGGCTCTGCAAGATACATCCCATGATCTAAGTTTGGCAGGAATCCATCAATCTGTTCTAATGATAATGCGATCACAAGCTATTTTTTGCATACATAATGAGCCGCATGACCTTTGACCTTGACCAAGACCCCAAAATCTAATCAGTTCATCGGCTCTGCAAGTAACATACATGACCTAAGTTTGGCAGGAATCCATCAATCGGTTCTTGAGATAACGCGATCACGAGCTGTTTTTGCATACATAATGAGCTGTGACCTTTGACCTTTGACCTCGTGACCCCAAAATCTAATCAGTTCATCGGCTCTGCAAGATACATACATGACCAAAGTTTGGCAAGAATCCATCAATCGGTTCTTGAGATAACGCGATCACGAGCTGTTTTTGCATACATAATGAGCCCTGTGACCTTTGACCTCGTGACCCCCAAAATCTAATCAGTTCATCGGCTCTGCAAGATACATACATGACCAAAGTTTGGCAGGAATCCATCAATCGGTTCTTCAGATAACGCGATCACGAGAACGGGACGTACGGACGGACGGACAACCCGAAAACATAATGCCTCCGGCTACTTCGTAACGGAGGCATAAAAATATATATATTCTTTTTTCATTAGATTTTTGAAATAAAACTAATATACCCTGCTTTCTTTTTTGAGGTACTGGTTAATGCCCCAAAGCAAATGGCACTATTGGAGTCATCAAGTCCCATAGTTATAACCAGAACCTCTCAAGAAAGTGTATATTTGTTTACTATTTTATTTTCAAAGAAAATAAATAGCTTTGTAAAAAAAACTATTAAAAAACACCAACTAGTAATTTTCAATCTAACTTCTACTGAATACTGAATACAAAATCAATAAAATGAGAAAAATGTGCCTCACCTTCAGATTTTGACAAGCGAAATCGACTTCTTCTTTGAGTATATTCTTTGCTCCATCAGTGTCTACACACTTATATTCAAAGGCCTCTGGGTCAGGTTCTCTGTGCTCACAAAATACAGGATCGTCTATCATACCTTGATGGTCATAATAATCATCATACATCTCATCATCGTCATCATCCGTTTCATATTCCTCATCATAACTATCATTAGCTTCTGCCATTGTGATGATTGATTGGAAGCACTTTGTTTGAAGATGTAGAGCCAAATGTGAAGCTAAATGTGCAGCTAAATGTGCAGCTTAATGTCAAGATTACTGCAGAGGCGTCAAAAGATCTTGTCTGTAAGTGAAAATACAGATAAAGATGGAAAAATAAAAAGGGAAATGTTAATGACAGCATATATTACGTATACATATGGATTTAAATACAACCACTTCAAAATATTTTACATGTAGACTGTGCATCTTTTATACTTTAGGGTATATATGTACTGGCAGAGGCCAGTGCATACAGAGTAACAGTAATGTGTGCATTATATTGCCCGTATTTGCAGGGTGTATAATTCATCAACCGTTGTACCTTATGGATATTTAGCCATACATGTACAAGGTCATATAACCTCCTATTAGTTTCCTACTCCTGATTGAATACAGAAATGGCGAAATTAAAAATATGGCCATAACAAATATGGCACAAGTCTATATGTTGCTATTCTCTATGCCTTAACAGATCTTCCACACAGAATGATAGGCCTAATTCCCTGCAGGTTTCCTCTCTCAGCGCAAGAGAGGGCAGCATGTTGTTGTTGTTGTTGTGGCAGAAAACCCACCTCGTCGCATTCACCTGAAGTCTGCCAAGACATGCTGATGACAATATATTTAAAGTACTTCTCAGCCCACAAAACTCAGTGCGTGCCAACTTCATTATATTTCGTAGATTTAAGGTCTTGTGGGTTGGGATCAAATCGGAACCACAATATTGTTACTTGAGAATTAATAAGATAAAAAAATATATACCGGTATTAAGCGATTGATAAATAGTGATAGGAAAGTGAAAAGTATGCCGCAGACCTGCCGCAGATCTGCGGCAGACTTTTAGTCTGCGGCAAAGAGTATGCCGAAGTATGCAGCAGAAAGAAATTTTGCTGCAGACTTGCCGCATACCAGTATGCCACGGGAACAGTCTGCGGCAGGATGAAATTTTGCTCCAGACTTGCCGCATACTAGTATGCCACAGGAACAGTCTGCGGCAGATCTGCGGCAGGGCGAAACTCTGCTCCAGACTTGCCGCATACTAGAATGCCACAGGAACAATCTGCGGCAGATCTGCGGCAGGATGAAACTTTGCTCCAGACTTGCCGCATACTAGTATGCCTCAGGAACAGTCTGCGGCAGATCTGCGGCAGGATGAAACTTTGCTCCAGACTTGCCGCATACCAGTATGCCACAGGAACAGTCTGCGGCAGATCTGCGGCAGGATGAAATTTTGCTGCAGACTTGCCGCATACCAGTATATGCCACAGGAACAGTCTGCGGCAGATCTGCGACAGGATGAAACTTCGCTCCAGACTTGCCGCATACAAGTATGTCACAGGAACTGTCTGCGGCAGATCTGCGGCAGGATGAAACTTTGCTCCAGACTTGCCGCATACTAGTATGCCACAGGAACTGTCTGCGGCAGATCTGCGGCAGGATGAAACTTTGCTCCAGACTTGCCGCATACTAGTATGCCACAGGAACAGTCTGTGGCAGATCTGCGGCAGGATGAAACTTTGCTCCAGACTTGCCGCATACCAGTATGCCACAGGAACAGTCTGCGGCAGGTCTGCCACAGAAAAGTGGGAAATTATACAGTCTGAAGCAAGGCTATAGGCGGCCATTTTGGAGGACCATGCAGGACGCGTATTTTTTATTTACACGGCAGCGAGGGGAAAAGCTCGATTAATTCCAATGAAACCACTCGCGAAGAGTCTAGTCTGTAGTGCCTGTATTGAATATGACTTGTGATGTCGATGTAAGTTCTGTGTTGTTGGAACGTGGTCGAGGACATGTATATTATGTTCACGCTCTCTGTGCCATGGTGTATTACTAGCATAATATATCATACTGCCGTCACTGTTTATTCAATATTGCATAAGACATCTATTTTGTTTTCTTGTTTTCCTTAAGATGTCTTTCATCGTTTCCTTCTCTAGATCTACATGTTAAGTACAATTCCCTTTATAATATAATATAATATAATAGAATAGAATTTATTGACTCATTCGACCCCCTTCAGGAGGACATACTGTGTATGATCGAATCTCTTTGGGTATGAGAGTACAACACATAATACACTGCACTGCTGCTAGGTACTCGTACTCGGATTCGGTCTAGTCTAGACTCTTCGCGAGCGGTTTCATTGGAATTAATCGAGAAATTCCCCTCGCTGCCGTGTAAATAAAAAATACGCATGCAGGACCATGAGGTTGCAGGCTGAGCCCATGATCTTGTAAATTCCTGTGTTAATTAGCACTGTTAATTGTCTTTTTAGCTTCTGTCAAACCAAACAATTTGCTTCAAGTTCAACTAAAACCATAAGAGGAATTTATTACATAAGAGGAGACTGTGGAATTAGCGGACTGTTTTAAACTTTTTTGTCGTGCCATGTGTGATCTTATCTTCAGCCCCACTAACTCACTTTTTTGTTGTAACTAGCACATGGATCTGTGACTCCACTCTGGGCTATGTTTATGAAGTTATTGTATTCCTATTCCTCTACCTCTACTTCTGCATTGTGTTAAACCCATATTTGCAAAGGACACTAATAGGAGAGTAATGGATTGTAAACAGGATTTTGTTGATAGTCTTAGTGAATTCTATGCCCGATTCGATGTTCATGACTTTTCTACAGAGAATGATGTAATAATAGATAGGCTGTCAAATATTGTGATTGATTCAAATGAGGTAATCGTCTTTAGTGAACATGAAGTTTGAAATGTATTTGCGAAGACAAATGTAAACAAAGCATCTGGTCCAGACCACATTTCTAATAAGGTTTTGAACATGTGTAGTCAACAACTTGCCTATGTTTTTACATGTATTTATCAATTGATCATGAATGCTGGTAGGATTCCTCGTCTTTGGAAATCCTCGATTATTATTCCAGTTTCTAAGATGAAAAACCCTAGTGAACTGAATCAGTATAGACCAGTAGCCCTTACATGCAATCTTATGAAATGTTTTGAACGGTTATTGTTCTAAGACATCTTAGAAACCAGGTTAATAATTTTGACAAGACTCAATTTGCATATCAGTACAATAGAGGTGTAGAAGACGCAGTACTTGTTTTTCTACAGGGTCTGTATCAACATTTGGATACTCCTAGGTCTTACGTTAGGTCTGTGTTCATAGATTTCTCAAGTGCCTTTAAATTTAAATACGATTGTCCTCACATACTGATAGATATAAGCTACTTAATATGAATGTCAAACCATGTCTAGTTAGGATTATCCATAATTTCCTTGTAGACAGACCACAGTGGGTTAAGTGTAATAATCTGAACTCTATCATCAAATGTCTGAATCTGGGTGCTCCCCAAGGCTGTGTAATTTCACCAATTCTCTTCTCGCTCTATATTAGCGACTATACCATCACCAATAATAATTGTTCAATAATTAAGTACGCAGACGACACTGTTATAACTGGTTTCCTTCAAGGAGATTCCAGCCCATATGTTAGAGAAGTTGATCAATTTGTAAACTGGTGCGATCGGCACCATCTAGTTCTCAACGTCAAAAAGACCAAGGAAATGGTATTCGACTTTCGTTGTTCCTCTCAGCCTCTTGACTCGTTGGTTATCCATGATCAAAGCATTGAGCGAGTTTCTGAATATAAGTACTTGGGAACAACTGTTGATAATAAACTTAATTGGAATAGGACCACCCAAATCGTAGCAGGCAAGGCGAGTCAAAGGTCATACTTTCTAAGGAAACTAAAGGAATTTCATGTGGATAATACTGTAGGATCCTAGTTCTCTTCTACCAATCTCTTATACAGAGTATCCTGACATTCAATTTCTTGTGCACTTTTGGTAACCTTTCAAAACAAAATCGGAGAAAGTAAGATAGACCCAGGAAAATTGCCCAGCGGTTAATTTATTCAGATCTTCCCCCTATCAGTACTGTGTATGAAAAACGTATGTTACTTAAAGTTCACACAATAATGAATGACCCATCACATCCATTACATCATTTCTTTGGATTCAATCGCTCAGGTATTCGCCTACGCGTACCGAGGAGCAACCGCTGTTGTTACAGACAATCCTTTGTACCGAATGTCATTCATATGTTCAATGCTAATGTTAAACTATGACCCTTTTGAAAGTCTCTTGCCAGCCAGTTATATATTTATTTTTTCAATTGACCCACTGTTCAATCTTGCCTCTGCTCTGTTTTTACGCATAAGTAGTACCATAAAGCAGGTTTTTTTAAATGTGCAACTGCAACATAATGGATCAGTTTCGCAGTGGGTTCGGGTTGGGTGCGTGGGTCTTTGTCGGGGTGCCTGGATGCGGGTGGCTCCATTCATCGTTGGGAGTGGTTGTGTTTCGGTGGGCGGGGTGTCAGTTGCGTACGTTGGTCGTTGCTAGCTAGTTTGGCGAGCTCTAATGTATTGCCAGCCTGGTAGCGGCTTTCGTGTGCAATTTGCATTCTGCCTGTTGGGATACGATTGTTCCTGAAGGGTGGGTGTAGTTAGTCGTGTCCGCGCACTTCGCGGGGACCTGCGCATTCGACGTGGATACGCTGCGAAACTGGTCTATTACCTCTCAGATAGACAGTTAACAATTTATCTACATGCGTCGTGTACAACTCGTCCCTCTTCCTTTCTTTTTTTTTCCCCTCCCTCTATTTATGTCCTCTTCTCTCCTTACCTCCTCTCCCGTGTCCACCTTTCGTTCCTATCTTTCTCTCTCTCTCCCTCTATCTCTCTATCTCTCTCTCTATCTCTCCCATCCCTCTCTGTCTCTCTCCTCCTCTCCCCTCTCTCTCTCTTATTACTACTTTTGCTCCTCAATCTAGTCTCCTTACGACCTTTTTCTCTCTTCTCAATCTTTAAATGTCGACTTGTTTCTTAAGTTTTCCTTATTACTATGTAATTTATACTTATGCTTTTTGTTAATGTCATGATCTTGTGTGAATTCATGAACATTATGTGACTTATCAATTATTTTGAAACTACTTTCTATTTTCTATGTTTTGAATATGGACCAATAAATTATCTATCTATCTATCTATCTATCTATTTGTAGAATTGTTGAAGCAATTCCGCCTATTTTAGCTGTTTCTACTAATTCAAGGTGCTAGAATGTAATGATGCAATGCATGCTCTCCAGCATAGCCTTCCTGCAAGACTGCATACTTAATTGCCACGTACTGGATATGAAAGAGTATGCGGCAGGTCTGCAGTAGGTCTATATGAGATATGAATATTCATGATGAAGAGTCTGCAGCAGGTCTGCAGCAGACTCTTTGTTATAGCCTTTTCTATGAATATTCATAATAAAGGAGTCTGCGCAGTCTGCTGCAGACTCTTCATCATACTGAAAGAGTATGCAGCAAGTCTGCGGCAAGTCTGCGGCAAAACTAATTTGCATGTGAAAAAGATGACTGTCTGCAGCAGGTCTGCTGCAGATCTGTGGCAAGTCTGCCGCAGGAGTATGCGGCAGGCTCCTTTCTTTCCTATGGGTAGTGAGCAATGACGTCACAAACTTACAACCAAATCGGCAATTTGTGTAGTGATTTCCATTGTTCCGTATTTGTTCATACTTTTTAAAAAATTCATAACTTCCTTAGTAGTTATCAAATTTTTCTCAAGTTTTGTTAGCTCTGTTTCTCTTTTTTATCTACATCTACATGTATTAAAAGCTAATTTTTTTGGAGTGGACTTGGACTTTAACTACATGTAGGTTCATTAGGCCAACACAAAGTGAACCGACAATGCGTCTCGCTCTCACGTCATTAGAAAATCACAGATGGCACAATTTGATCCTATACGAATCCCATATTTGTGTGGAATTTTCGTCATCGAACAAAGTCACAAAGAAGATTCTTTTGAATTCTCCGAGAACCAGACTGTCAGGACATGACAGCAATCACTCAAACACTAAAAGTAAAATGGAAATCTTATTTTGGTACAATTTTGTAACACTTCTTTAGAAAGTTTAGACATTATGGTTAGACATTGTTGGGCCACTCTCATCATAACATAGCAAAATTACAAACGGCACAATGCAATTATTCCCAAATGTTGTAGGCGATGTCCTCCGCTCAGGTCGGAGATCATCGGCACTGTGAGTCTGCCGAAGTTACATAAATGGCTTTCTATAGGTCGTTAAGTAGATTTTGACGGGTTGTGTGAAGGTTGCGAATAAAATAAAGGATAAGTGTGGATAAGTGTATGCAGTTGTGTTTTGGCACTACTGCTGATGTGTCCAGCAGGGAAAAAGAGCACCGACTCCAAGAACAGCGCAGGCGCAGACTCGAAGTATTGAGCAAACTGCTTTGTGTTGAGGTTATCCTTAATACAATTAATAAGGTCTTGATGCACAGATGATAGGGCTGGGCAAGTTGCAACAAGGTGCTCAACATCCTCTCGCTCTGCCCGACACAGACGGCAGCAGTCATCAGTTGCCTTCCCGATCCTGACAAGCCTGACTTGGGTCAGGTCACTATCACTAGCAAAGTAACGTAGACTCTAGACCGAAAGCTTCAGTCTCTATATCGTTGGTTGTTCCACTGAGACTACGTCTGGCTCCACTAGACCTCCGGATATAGAGACTGAACGATCGCCTATGCCATCGTACGTTGAAGATACACTCTACGGGTCTACGATAAGACGATACTGCCCTGACGCTAAGTTAAATCCTTTTTTTGTTATAATCGCATGCACTAACATATACAATTGGCATTTTGAAGTAAACCACACATGATAAACATTAAGAAAATATGTACCTTGGACCTCTGCATATGAAATCTTCTTCAAAAAAGTGTTATTATCTCTTCCACTTGACTGTCTTCAGACATCAGCCATCTTGAATCAAAGTAATGAATATTCATGACAAAGTTTTTTAGTCTCCACCCCATTGACCTCATTCATAGATGTGCGCGTACGTGCACATACATGTACATCTCGCATCGTTTGAGTTCTCGTGTTGTCAGTGCTTCACTTGCGCGCGCTATCCTCGACGTGCCGCGCGGAGGAGCTAGCCGAGGCGAGGTCAACCATCCTCTTTATCGTATTTGAATATTCATTAGCCATCATTTTGATTTCTGTCGGACAGAATGCTTGACGTGGGTCATCGAGAAGCAGCCAAAAGCTCGGTAAGTCCTTTTATTTCTTTTATATTTATATTTCGTGGGGAAGGGGGGTAAAAAGGGAACTTTTAGGGACTGACAATTGCCTAGAAAATTACTGCAATTGAAGATAAATGATGTATTTCTCCTCAAGTTTGTGATGTTTGTGGGAGGGGCCTAACGGCTAAAATCTAGCCGTGATATCTTCAACATACGATGGCATAGGCGATCGTTCAGTCTGTATATCCGAAGGTCTAGTGGAGCCAGACGTAGTCTCAGTGGAACAACCGACGATATAGAGACTGAAGCTTTCGGTCTACGTAGACTCTAGCATTACTTATTCAAAACAGCAATTTCAAGAAGTTTTCATATTTCATACATCTTTTAAGAATAATTTTTTTTTTTTCTCCATTTTTTGGACCCTCCAACAGGCCATTTATTGAAAATCAATCTGAAGATAACATATTTGAACACATGTTCCAATGAATATCATATATTATATACCTCACTTAAGTAATCCAGCCATCTGATTGGTCGAAATTGCATTCATAAACTTAAACTGTTCCTGTAAAATTCCCGGTAACCATGCTTAAAACATTTAATATTTTTAATAACCATGGTTATTAAAAAAATAGGTCAGTCTCCATGGTTACCCCATAGGTTTACATGTTAAAAAATGGTTTGAGCGATGGAGGATACCGTATGTGTGCGAATAATTGGTCGGTAATTTCAATACAATTGAATCTCGATCGATCTTACCGACAATTTTATCTTGCATTGTTGACATGAAGACGAAAATAAACTTCCAAAAACAAAAAAACAACATCTGCCGATAGATCTTGATCTAAGTTCGTGCCAATATGCATTGCAAAAGTAAAAGAAGAGTCCGTATATGGAGCTTTTGCGAAGCATTCATCACACGCGAAGCCGGTTTCAATCCATTTTAATGTATATATCGTACAAAACTGCCAAGCATGTTAATAACGCGCGATGGCCGAGAGGTCTGAGGCGCTGACTTTAGATACATCACCTTTTGTACGCAAGAGTTCGAATCTCATCTTCGACCAAAAAAAAAAGTATTTTTTATTTTTTATTTTTTAGTCTATTTTTTTCGGCATATAAAAGTATTAATGACTGCTTTAATATTCGAGAAATAGTTGTTTTTATGCGCTCTCGGGAAGGTTACAATTGGGCTATTCCCCTCGGCACGCCTCGGGTAATAGCACAATTCTAACCTTCCCTTGAGCGTATAAAAACAACTATTTCTCTCAAAGCAGTCATTAATACTATAATATTTCATAATAAGTCAGATATACATAACGAATATCAACCATAATACTGTATATACAGAACATACATGTAGATTAGGGAAAGAAAAACAAAAATTAAATAATAATGCAACATCATGACTGAAAATGATGTGGGAAATTCAATATAGACCTACTCCTATTAAAGGATCAAAATCCTCTCAAAATTTATCCATTTTTTTTAAGAATAATGGTTAAAAATGGTTAAAAATATTCAGATATTTTAAAGGACGAATAGATGCCAAGTCAAGTATTGCCTGCCTGTCTAGTGGCAATTGCGTTTTTTGTTGTTTTGGTCACAGCATCAAAATAAATTGCAAACGTGACAGCTAGTAGCAAGTATCTGGACACACAAATCCCCCGTCTTACAAAATTCTAATCATCTACATGTACATGTAATCACATTGTTGTCATATCCTTCGTGTCCTTACAAGTTTGTTCATGGATCCTTGGGATTGCACTTTAGCTTTGGCTTACCCAATTCCCAAGGCCCAAATTCACTCACACTCACAATCACAGTCAATGTTCACACACATTCTTTCAATGGCACAGTCAATTCAACTCACATCACACTCACAACTTCACAGGCATAGTTTCGGTCTCTAAGCGACAATTTTACTTCTTCAATAGTCAGATGATCATAAGAGAAGCAGCCTCCAGCACGAATGAAATAAGACAAAATATTAATAATACGGTAGTTGATGATAAAAATGACAATAAATACATACCAGTCACAGCCTAGTCCGACGTACTGTATAAAGTTGTGATTAGATGTTATGCATTACGTACGGACAACGCGCGCGCGAGAGAGATATCCCGCGAGCGTCACCGCGCGAGAACTAGAATGAGTAACTACACCTTTAATTCGAGTCCGTACAGGATTGTGACGACATTATAAACAAACTTCTTTTTCCTTGTGAAGTTGTGATATGAGCCAGTGGCGGATCCACGGAAAAAAAACCTGTAAAAACACATGATTTTTAGCTTTTTGGGGGGATGAGCCCCCCCCCCCCCCCCCCCCCAATATTAATTTTTAATCTCAATGTGCGGACATCAAGTTAGTTTCAATTACAGTAGTGAGTACCCAGGCGCGGATCCAGGATTTCTCAGGGGAGGGGGACCAATTTTTTTTTTTTTTTTTTTGCTCCTGAAAAATTTGCACCCCCCCCCCCACTTGAGCGCCAGGGGGGGGGGGTCCATCCCCCCCCCCAAAAAAAGCTAAAAATCACGTGTTTTCACATATTTTCTGAATTTCAAATCAACAATAAGTCTGTGATGACATATATGACATATCCCCTGTCTTGCCCAATTTGACATACCAGTAGAGAATTATTTCTCTTGGGTTTTCATTTCTGATTAAGTCATTGTTTATAAAAAAATAAAAAAAAGACTACTACCCAGATTATGACTTCAAGATACACAATATACAATAATCAAATGGCAAAATAATTTAGTACAAGCAATGAATGACATTCTTTATTCAATCAACAAGAAAAGTTTGGATATGGCCTACTTGTGAGACAGGCCTACAGAGCAAGACAGATATAAAGGTTTCAAGAAGTGATAAAATGGCAATGTATTATATATTATAGTCATATACAGTACATCTAAGGATATCTAGATTGTCAAACACAGGAACTGTGTTTCAGTGCATCACTGTATAGCCTTATAATCCCATTGGGCAATGATTTATGAATATCCTCTGTAAAGTATTGTTTCTGTCTCATAATACTTTTGTTCTCATTATTTCATGAGCTCTACCATTTGATTGATTTGATTTGATTCTAGATGAATATACAAATATCATTTATGATAATTAACAATTAATTGGGGAACTGACTTACAACTAATAAAAAAAGTTTTCAATTTATGATGTACACATAATCTTGAAAAAGAAACGACACTTTACATAAAGTGTTTACGCATTGTAGAATAACAGTGAACATTATCTAACAGACCCATAATATATAATATGTCAGTATACAACAAAAGTAAACACACCCTTAAAGGAAACCTTAACCTAAAGAATGAGTGTAGATGTACCGGTATTGATGTATGAGATTCATTCCTGCTTATTGAAGTACATATTCGTTACAAAAATGTACAAGAGATACATAAGTGAAGAAATTCTTGGAATGATGTCATGCGTTTTAGCATGACATGGGTGCAGCCATTTTCTTGATGTGACATACTTGGCAAACTTTTACATTTTGACCAAATGTTTTTAATTCAACAACAAATCCTTTAATCTTCAATGAGGGAAAATCATAGCTGAGATGATAAAAAATGAATTTAGTGAAAAATAAATAACATGGAAACAACTTCAACTCACTTATTTAAAATACTAAAATATAGCAGTTGACAAATATATTTCATCAGAAAAGCAACAATTTTTCCATGCAATTTGTGTTCTGACGATTGAAATACAAAAATAATAGCTGGTGCATTACATATATATCATCACCACATAAGTGGGAAGGAGACGTCCATAATAGATAAACAACTTCACATAGTGCATCACATTATCAAGAAAAAATGGCAATACCCATGTCGTGCTAAGAAACTGTACATTACGTTAAGAATATCTTGCTTCATACACTTTAAAGGGGAATCTTGTAGATTAATGAGCAAAATTACAATAAATCTCTCAGAATAGCTTGAATTATTTCTTGGGGCGAGGTTTCCTGTAACAAAAATTAGAATATTCCACTGTAACTTTTTCAAAATTGTGTTAAAAACACAATGATAGAGTAGTCATTCTGTGACGTGTGTGTGGGTAAAAAACATTCATTCCATGAAAGCAATATAGCACAGGATATTTGTAAAAAAGAAATATGTAGGTTACTTGATGACATTGGGACATTATATATAATAAATTATATCAGTTTCCATGACTAATGTTTTATGTAAGCAATGAACCGCTGCTTATCAATAAGCAGTTGACCAAAAATAATCATGTCAATAGATTCTTTGATAACTTTTTATGTAAAGCGCTGTGAAACAACAGTTAGTTCGTAAGAGCGCTATAGAAATGACTTTATTGTATTGTATTGTATTGTATTCTGTTTTGCTCATCCAAGTTTTTGCGACAAAAGTTATATTTTTACCTTTAAAATGACAGACTACATATACACCAAAACCTAAGGTGTACGCTTTGTTCCCAACCATTTCATCAATATTCACAGTATGCTACAATCTTCTGATGAAAAAAAAAGTGTTTTGCCATCACTAATATAACAGAAAGGCTACCAGTACTTTATCATTGATGTGGGACACTGTTTTTCGGACATTATACAGCTATGGTTAATCGTAATATGTAGTCAATCAGTTTGCATGTACAGACAAAATCATACTGGCATGTGGTAACAAAACTGGTACGATATGAGAGGTCATTTATCAATTTACCATACAATTTGTGAAGCGCTTCATCTTCACTACTATTTGAAGGGGCAGGTGGGGGGAGGGCATATGATATCAAAGCAATCATAAAATGTTTGAATAAAAACCAAAATGAGCATCTTTTGATGAAACATTCTTTATACATTACATTGGTAGTTAATTATGGTCAATAGGTCTTTGTGCAAAATAACTTGATCAAAATGTTCTTACTTGCTTTACTGAAAAGAACAAAAAAGTAAATCTATCCTAACACACTAACTGAAAATGGAACTTTCCAATTCATTACAGAATCGCAAGATAGCTCTTTGCACCATTTAAGCAATCCTTTTTCCAGGAGAATGTTAATTATTCCTTTCAATTTACTACAAATAATTAACCCCCAGGATCAATTTATAAATCAAATTAAAGTTCGGGATACACAAAGTTTAGTTTGAAACATGATTGACTGTTTCTTGCACTGTCTGTCACTTTTTGAAGTGATTGGCTTAGATTTCCAGCAAGGGACAGTATTGTCAGGCTTATCAATAGTAACAATGCATGTGTACTTCAACTATTTTGCATGTATCCTTCATGTGTGTAGCTTGTGCTCTTCATGTATGCTACTGTCAGAAGTCTCATGCAGGAATGAAACCAGTGAATGCAAAATCTTAAATAAAAAATCATATGCTAAGCTAGACAATCTTACTCTGACCAGGTGGTATGCAGACCTTACGCTGATGAAAGTAGGGGCAATTTTGACGTTTGGAAACCACAGCCATTTTCATCTTTTTTGGATTGCAAAATCTGATATCTAAATTCAATTATTTGTGAATCTGAAAGTTATTTTGGAACATCTGGTTCTACAGTACAAAAGATATGTTAACTGGATGAGATATGGGACCTGTACAAGCAGCACCATACTCTGTCAACTTGTGCATGTAATTTTACCAAATTAGAACTATATAACAACTTAGTGGCATATAACAATATTGATGATAATCATCAGAAGAATAAAAGTAGAAATAATTAACATAACAGTGAAATATAAATCTAGTATTCAATGTGGCAAGGTCTCATCGTTTGGTTTGTTGATTGAGATGTCTAGGTGCATCAGCAAACATGTACTTCAGCTTGTAAGCTTCTGCTACCAGAAGGCTTATGTCTTTGTTGCCCCAGTTTTGGGTCGGCAGGTTCTGAAGGAAAAGCATTGTGCCCTGTAAAACAAACATGACAGACCATACCAAATTAGAATTGGAGCAATAACAGTTTTGGCGATAACATCTTCATTTATAGAGTAAAATGGTACATAAATCTATTGTTTTTACACATACTATCCAAGCATAGTATGAATGTAAAAGATTACCTATCTTAAATGATTATAGTAGGTAATTCTTTGAGAGATTAACAATATCATTACAAAGAATTTCCAGATCTTTGACAATTTAGCAAAAGCTACAAGAGCCTCAGAGGAACACCAGTTACAATCCCTTTATCAGCCACATGTTTAACTATTCCCAACTGCTCTATCTTCTATAACGGTCAGTAGGAACCACATATCATAGTCTGCTAGAACTATACGTGTAGCTCCTCAAATAAAATAATTAGTAAATGGGATGGTTCACATTTGTAAATTTTCATGAATTACTCATCAAAGTAAAGAGGAAGAAAGTAGCACACGATCATATATCATGATAAAACTATGTAAGATTTTTGGCCAATGCTACACGCAAAAGACAATATGTCTTTTCTACAATATGCGATTGGGGGATAATAACTTTCTTTCTACATCAACTGCTCTGTCAATGCATAATATCTTACCTGGAAATCTCTTTCATTCATTATCTTAGTAGAGAACATTTCTAGTAGGGCTGCGCACACATAGAGATGGAACACTGCAAAGCCCTCTGGTTCACTCTAAACATAATCAAGTTGGAGAAAAACAGAGAGAAAGCACAGAAGGAAGGAAGGATTATAGACTGAGTAGATCGGTGTTGGCTTGCAAATGACTGCAACTGCCTTTTAGAAATTGTCTAAACTGAGATTTTGTGTTACACAGGCAAAAACACTCAGCTTTACAACAAATTAAAACATTATGTATAAGCTCCTTTATCCTTTATCTCTGGAAATTACTTTCTCATTCTTTTGCCCAACTTCTATATGAAAAGGGAATATGTAATTGCATGTAATATAAAACAAAATTTGCATAATAAATATGAAGCAAAATAAAAGCCCATATGTCACATTTCTCTGAAACACACACTGTCTAAAAGACTGAAATAAGGAACTTTCTTCATATCATAAAACATATCATACCTCTCAAAGATATTTCTTGATAATGGATTAGTCAGGGGCACTTGAAGTGCTCGAACATATCTCAAATAAAAGAGCAACCTCTATCCATATACATATCTGTGACATCAAGGGGAGACACTTTATCTATAAATCAGTGTTTGATATTTGTTTGATATTCCCTTAAACTCTCTCTGACAAAGCACTTCAATTTGTCTACTTTCTATCAAAGCAACTTCTTTTGGAGCTGGACTAAACCTTAATATCAAATGAGTCTTTACATGCAAATTCCCAAATCAGCTTTTCTCTGATCTGTCTATAGAAGTCTGAATAATACACTTTGACATGAGAACCGTCATGCCATGATTATTCTACTATGTATTTACCATGTATGTATCCCAAAGTCGTACAGTACATGAGAGAGGGAACTCCCTCATCAGTAGATTATTCATCCAACGGAAGGCAAATTGAAGATAGTCGAGCTGGTTTTCCATCAGATACTTGTGTAGTGGAGCTGAATAGGAGATAGTGAAATAAGATTATTTAGTAGCTTGATGAACATCTGAAGTTTGATTTCAAATTGTATTTCTTGCTGTACGGCAGTCCATCTAAAGATGTATCCCCAAACATTGAGTCTATTTCGATGGACAGTATTTTCCATACCTTAAATGTTTTATTTCATTTTGTACCAGGAAATAATAACTCCATGAAATAGATCTACATCAATATTACCTTTGGCATGAAACCTTTCTCCGAAGGATTCTAAAGTTTCATCAAATCAAATGCACATTGTACAAAACTGACACTTTCCTCCCAAAGTTAATGTGTCTCAAGTGACTTCAGGATAGTGCTGTAAGTCAGACGCTATGTTCGTGTTCGGTTCGGTTCGGCAGAGTTCGGCGATTTTTCACCCGAACTTGGTTCGGTTCGGGGTTCGGTAATTTAATAGCAAGCAGCGTTATAGCGACGGCGGTCGGGACTGGGCAGGCCGCCCGCCCTGCCGGGCCGGACCGGCACGGAGGACTTCTGCACACTGCTTCCGACCAACACAAATTTCACATTAAAAAACTGCTCTAAACGTAATTATTTGTGAAGAAAAATACTACTTACATTCGTATTTCCGTCTTGAATCATGTTTTATTTTCAATTTTAAAAGAATCATGTTTTCAATTTGTCAGTAAATGATATTTTTAAAAGATTTCCCGAGACGGTTGTTGTCTAATGTTAGAGTCATAAAAGGTGCCATTTGAATAGAGACTTTCAGGCTCGCCAAGAACTGTTTTTTATAAGTTTTTATTTTCAATAGGAAAAATATGAAATCCCTATTTTTCCTGAATAAATAAATACCATACTATAATATATATTTATTTCATTATTTATATTGTAAAATTTGTCCGCTATGGTTACAATTAAAATATTAATTTTTTGTTCGATGGGTTTGAGCAAATTGAGCTGAACTTGTTTTGATCATGCACATGTATTCTTGTTTATGGCTTGCGATCGCGACGTAGCGTGGTCAGGATTTGGGATTTAAATGGCGCCAGTGAAGTTGCGCCCACCACTGGATAGGCATAAATCACAAGGGCGGAAAATGGGGAAAAAGTAAATATAATATGAGCAATCATAACAAGAAAATTAGGTAAAAAATGAAAAGTTTATTAGCTTGCAAAAACGTTTACATTTTTTTTGCCGAACATCCGAACCAAACCTTTGCGTTCGGTTCGGTTCGGTTCTGTTCGGAAGTGCCATGTTCGGCGAATTTCCGTTCGGTTCGGCGGTTCGGCTACAGCACTACTTCAGGAGTTCAGGTGATCTTTTACATTTGATATTTGACCTGAAATACATTTTTCAAATACCTTTCTTACTCAATGACATGTTTCCAAGTTGAATGAAACAAAATAAACCACTGGAAACTACTTGAATATGTACATTATATGGTGTGATTCTTACCATTAATCCTCTGTATAAGTTCCTTGAGTTGCACCACCTTAAGCTGTATACCAGGTTGAGCAAAGGTGTAATTATCTTGTATGCCATCTAATAGCTTACTCATACACCAGAAACTATCAGCTTCAATCTCTCGAAGAATCTTCTTGGACAGCTTGTTGATACCTTTGTACTTTTCCACTTTCTCAATATCCTCTCCACCTGTATGTCAAATGGTTATGAAAAATAACAGTGTTACTGAAAGGGATTAATCTATTGAATATGACTAGATTTGGGTAAAACATGCATTTCCCTTAGACTTCAGCTTCAGTCATTCAGGCCCTAGTGTTCAGCCACTTAAAATAATGAATAATTGTTTCCAAGGCAATGACTTGACACATCGAAAATGAAAAGAATGAAATGGAAGGAAATTGTGCCACAATCCTTAAGGCAATAGCAAGAATGTTCATAGAGATGACGAGGAAAAACTGTTAGCATCTCCTAAAATAAGAAAGAAACCAAAATGACACGCTCATCTACAAAATTAGTACATAGTGTATGGAAATGTACAAAAATCTGAATCTGAATGAGTAGTTCACTCAACATATTTAGGCAACGGCTAGGGTATAAGCCAAACGGAAATAACCTTCCCCCACCCCCATAAAAAAATATATTTAAAAAAAACGAAACAACCAAAATCAATGGAATCTATCAGCAAACTCTGGAAATTGTTTCCTCCAAACACTTTTTGACCCCAACTCCTGTCTTCTTTAAATGGTAATGAAGTGTATAAACTGAGCATGCGACATCGCCTAGCGCAATAGAAATCTAGTTCCTTTTCTCTAAACAAAGAAACATAGAGGTTTGCAAACTGGAGCTTCCACAGCTCACCAAGGAATGGAAGAAACTATGTAGGAATGATCATAATCATGTGTGAAAGGTTTTTTGTCAGATCAACCAGCCTATGTGTTTAGAATATGAAAGACTCCCTCCCACATCACAACTAGATGTCAAAGCCTGCTTTATGGAATTAGGACAATCATTTTATAATTCTTAAGACAAAACTCACCTATGTGCTGTGAGAGGAATACCACGAAGAATGGAGTGACAAGATCATTAATGCCCTGGACATAACCACTGGCTGGATGCTTCAGGGCCCAGATGTATAATATCCTTTCAAAGATCTGTCAAATGACAAGGAAACAAAGTAATTAATACAAAGTATTTGTATAATCAAGGAGTAAAAGGAATCTACCAGTATAGTGATGCAGACCACATTCAAATAATGCAAAAATGGGGTTTATTAATGGTAATGTCAGCCTTTCACAAGCAATATAAGGGATTCTAAATCAAAACACCAGAAACAATATTTCTGATCAAAACATAATTTTGAGAAGCTGACTACATTTCCTCCCTCAAACTGCAACATGAATCTATACCAAGATTTTGCAATGTTTATATTTTCTGGAAAGATTTAAAAATCATAAATGTTTTTTTTCAACACTTTCAAAAATACCAGAAAAAATTGTCAATATACATATTCTGATTATTAACATTCAAATTCACATTTTAAAGCATATTAATTTGTGGCTGGAATATGCATGTGTGTGCCTGTAAGTGGCTGCCTCAGTGTGTATTTAGTGCAGAATCATAACTGAAAACAAGTACTAGGTTATGATAACCTGCAAAGCATGTTTGATCAGTTAGTAACTGAAAGAACTTGAAATCAACTGCTCAAACAGCTGTTTGCTTGTTGCTGTTGATGCTGTTGTTGATATTTTGTTTAATATTGTCATCATCTTTACTTTTTCATTATTTTAAGACATAGCTAAAATAATTTACCTCTTGCACCACTGGTTCTTGGAATAAAGGAATAAGTGGATTGGTCCTTGGAATGTCAATGTGAATCTGAAAGAGATCAAATAAAAACATACAGTCAAATTATATCAATTCCCTCTCTCCCTTTCCATGATTCCTCTCAGGTGGTTGAACTATCCGATACGTATCGTTTAATTTCAAAATGGAAAGAAAAAGTTATCATTGTTTGGTGCATTATGAGAACATTCAACATTTTCCCCATTTGCTTGGAGAGCAGTCAACATAATTACATAATATGAATCCTTATCAAACTTTCCATTTCTTGCAAGAATACATCAATCAGTATTTGGTTCACTCAGTAAAAGTAATATTGCACGATTTTAAAAATACATTGAGTGATTTCAAGTTGGGTGTTTAGAGCTGGTGTTAGTGTTTAATAAACACTAAAACAAGCCTAAACACCGAAATGGAAATCAGCTGGTGTTAAAGCTTTGACCTCTGAATATCGTCAACTTCCGGTAGCTAGTGTTAATGATTTTGCAAAATTGTCGTCTGCTGAACCGACCTGTGTGGCTGGTGTTAATATTTTACGTACGTATGTCCTATTTACTAACACTAGCCCCTAGGGATTAAGCAAATGTTCATTTCCAGTTTAGTGTTGGTGTTGTACCCGCACAACAGTCAACGCACGAACGACGCTAATTTATTGTCTGACAATCAAATACAAATATGTGAAACAGGTCCTTTACTATGTGATTCATATATTCCTTTGTGTAAAATGAGTTGTTTAATAAGACCAGAGAAATAAGTGTAAGTTATTCTGTGCAGCTTTTCATGATATCTTTACATTTTATGTACTATTTTGAAATCATCGTCGTGAAAACAAGTCTATGTGGCGATCATGATGATGTCACAGTGGTGTTAAGCTATCGATGTTGATATCGGTATCGGGCTCTTAATTTCATCAGCAAATTTTTAGCTCGATTTAAGAACTCTTGACTGCTCTTAACACTAACACCCAACTCGAAATCACTCATTGTCTTAGGACCAAACGTTCATGCTAATCTACTCAAAGGTCTGTTGCACAAGTATAAACAAAATGTGATATAACCGTAGGCAAATGTGGAGAATGTATTGATCTTCAAACTTTAAGTATAAGATACCCAGGGGTTTTTTCTCTTATGTAAAGGAGACAATTTTGTATATGGTTAAGGCCTTTAATTCAAGGACTGTAATTGACTAGATTAAACATACAAATGTAACCTACAATATGAATATTTGCTACTATCATGCCTGCTATCATTATTGATTACTACATTTTGTTTGTATGACACCAGAACCACTATGCCTGCCATTCAGATCAAAATGCACTTGTCTAATCAATATGTCATGTTATTAAACAAACAAGATACACACATTACAATTACCGGTATGTCATGTTAATCATATTGACCACTGTCTATAACTTACCTGGTGGAACATGTTCTTGTGTTGGGCATCATTCCTTGTGTCATAGTACTGATCTACAAAGCCAAAATATTCTTCTCGTTTCCTGTCTAATGTTGCTTGTCTTCGCTCCAAATTAGCTGGAAGATAGCCCTACAAATTTAACATTGAAAGACTTGCAATAAAAATGCAATCCCCATAAACCATACCCCCCCCCCCCCAACAAAAACAAAAAATATTGATAATAATAATAATAATATTAACAAGGAGAAGAATAACAATTTTAGTATATAAATGAGAATGAAAAAGATATAAATGTCAAAGAAAATTATTGTCCACACAACTTTGGACATATAATCTGGTGACTACAGATGATTTTTTTTTTAAACATACAGACTGATTGTTTTTCGTTTTAAAAAGAAATACTTTACAACAAATTGCCCCTGAAGTTACCTTGATGTACATGTATTACAAAATGGTCTAAACATCCCATTTTTTCAAAACAGGGCTCCAAGGGGCTTTTACAGTAGACTGCCATTGACATACCGGTATTTTGACCTACCGGTAATGTTCAACACAAAATCATATTTAGTTAATTTAAGTTTGGTCACATTTAAAACTTGTTACATGATACCTTTCACTGAGATGCACTGTATACTGCTATTTTTTAGCACATATTTGATGAAAGAAAAGTGCACATGACAGGATCCTGTTTACTATCAATAGTGTAATACTTACTGACAGAATCTTCCATGCAACTGGACGAACTGTATTAGGTATTCCAGCCCAGCTATGCTTTCTTAACGTCTCTGTTGGTGATACAAAGATAGATTTCTTCACAAATTAGTATATAGGTCACTTAAAACAGTGATGAAACCTTTTAGAAAGACTTGTTTTAAAGCAAATAGGAACAAATAATAATCTATGCTCTCTTAAAAATAAGTGTTTCGTCTTCTGCATAGATGTAGCAGTGTTCAGGGTGGTAGGAAGCTTGTTCCACAACCTTGCAGCATCCTAAAGGAAAGCAATGTTTCCAACACGTTTCTTGGAGAGGGACTAAGTCAACCGAAGAGCAAGTATATTTCTTGAAGTTGGATTTCTGCAGCTACCACTAATAGATTGAATTGGATTGGATTTTCTTAGCCCAACAGGCTTATGATAAATTTGAATGTTAACCCTACTACTATTCAAAGAAATGTCTGAACCTATATACATCTCCTAATAACGATGCGATAGCACATTTCTTCCAGATTGTCCATACATTCTTCACATGCACGTTGTACTTACCCATTTCCATATTTGGTGCAGAGAGAACAGCCCAGAATTTGTCTGCCTTTTCATCTTGCTTATTTGAGAAAGGGATGGTAGATATTCTAATAGGTGAGGATGGGCGTGGTGCTACCAAGGATGACTGCTCAACTCTAGATGACGGCCTATCAGCTGAAGATTGGTCAACCTCTGCTGGGTTGGGTATCCTAACATCTGACTCAGTTCTTTCTGATACATCTAACAAAGATTTAATCACAGCATTCAAAATAACAATGACCATCACATGATGATTTCATGCTCAATGTTAGTGCTGGTGGTAACATTTACTATCCCACTTTATCATGATCCAATATTAAACATGAAATGAATAAAACTAGTCAATTATGTTATGAGCTGACCTTAGAATCTTTACATGGTTGGGGTTGCTGGTATGGCCCTCTATTGTCTGCTAAACTCAAGATGGCAGTAAGGCAGTTGGTGTCAAATATCATTGATACAAATTTTCATTTACTAAGACGATACCACACTAAAACAATAAAATATATGTATTCAGAATTTGCGCTGCTCACTTTGGGTATTTTGGCATTTGGTATGAAATCTAGAGCCAAAATAACTCCTTGTAAGTGGTAGTTTATAGAAATGAAGGGCATATATTTTACCCCCTAAAAAAGAGAATATCATATACACCACTGACTTTCAATATATTTTGTTGTACACATCATATGGAACAGTTATGCGACATCACACATAATGACCACACATTTTTCCTTGTTTTGTATTGCTCTTTCACTGATAATTTCTCTGATATTCTACTCAATTAAGCAAGCTTTTTATGGAGGGTTGATCTCCCTTTCAATGTATGCACTCAGACAGGTAAATTACATGTTCCTTCAGGCTTATCCCAGTACATATAATACAGACCTGTGTTCTGCAATGAAGGCACACTTGGAAGATTACTTCTGTCCTGTCCTGATGGAGTCTTGTCATCTTCACTGTCCGCTATATTTCTATCTGACCTATGACCTCTGACATGAACTAATCCTGGGACGGTAGTACCATGTACTTCTACACTAAGTTTTCTTGAAGTCATTAATATTAGTTCATCATCATTCACTTCCCATGCATCTGAAGTACTGTCATCAAAATCAGCAAAAGAGTCTTTCTTATTCTTTGATTTGTTTGGAGAATTCCTCCCTTTTGGTTGGTGCTGTATGACATCTGTTGCAATATTTGTTGGATGTACAGGTTTGATGCTATTGATAAAGAAAGAAAGAAAAGACCAACAATTACATAACATGTACCCATAATCACAAATTCACTTCAATTCACATAAATGTTTTACTAAGGGGAACAAATAAAGAGTCTCTTTAAAAAAAAAAATGAAAGTTATGTTAGAACTTAGAAATGTTAAAATTGCCAACACCTATTGGCTTCAATACCTGAGTGACCTCAAACAATAATTCTTAGTGTACAAAGGCCTTCCATTGTTGATTTTGAGTACGATATCTTTCTCTTTCTGTGAAGCTAGTTTCTGTGTTTTTTGCTCCAGATTGGCCGGAAAACTTTCATTTTGATAACTTGAGTTTGTATATATTACAAATCTATGATATATTTACTACATAAATACCAAATAATAAAGCCTTCGGTCTTTTAACAAAGCTAGGAAAGCAATTTTAGTTCAGCAATTTGATCGCCCAAAATGTATTTGTTGTCATGGAGTCTATAGCATTTCCATGGTAACAAAGCTGTAAAGTTATAAATTATAACAACTAACATTATTTCTAAAAAGCATATTAATAAAACATATCCTGAAAGTTTGGTGGTTTTCTTTCAAGTCATTATTGATTTGTGCATGTTTTCTGGATTTTAGACTGTATTTGGGGCCATATTTAGGCCTTACTTTCTACATGCATAATTAACGTCCTCGTGGGATTTATGTTGTAATGATGATGATGATGATGTTTCACAGCATTCGTATGGCGCCACATTACATTGTATCTGTTTTTTTAAAAACAATCAAAGGCGGGAGCTCCTCCAATATAGTTAGCATTTAATGTCTGAAGGAAGATCTGAGTCTTGAGCGAAGCTTTGAAGTGGTCTAGGTTGTTTTATCGCAAAAAATATACCTCAAAAAATATTTGTTGGATTTACTTCATTCAAAAAATATGTTGATGTGCTCTTCAAGCCCTTTCATACGACACCAAATTCACTGCAGTTGGACATGCACGAAATTTTGACATATGAACACCCTAATAATATGTGTACTGCATGCGTGCCATCATAAACTGAATGTGGCTCGAAATTACGACCGTTAGATAGGCTATACATCCGGGAATTTAAGTGATGCAAGATACAAGATATTTGGTACTTGGTACTTGGTAGGATTCCTCCAAAAGACGCTATAAAGGTGTTTAAACTGGAGGTGTGTCGTTGTGTGCGGCCACCAACTTAAGGTGCTGGTTTTAAGTTGGTTTAAGCGCAGATTTCAAAGTATTTAAGGAAGGTTGGGCTACAATTGAGGGAGAAAGATTGTTCCAGTCCTTAACTGTCCTTGGGAAGAATGAGTAAGCGTATGCGTCCGTCCTGACTTTGTTGATATAGAATTGTTGGTCATGGCCCCGTCTTGTTCGTTCTACCTTGGGTGAGATGTAATTCTTGTAGTTGATGTCCATCAAGTCGTGAATCATTTTGTACATGTGTAAAGCGCCATGAGCGTCAGAACCTGGCGGATACCGGCGCTATATAAATAACCATATTATTTATTTATTTATTTTTACAAACAGGTGATACGAGACTTCCGTCTTTCCTCCTGGAGGGGGATCCAACCCAATGAGTCCTTCAAAGCAGTGACACTTGAATATCTTGTATAAGTGTTTTTGACAAATCTAGCTGCTGCATTCTGGACTCTGTCAATGTTGCTGATGGTGCTCGTATATGGATCCCAGGCTGAAGAAGCATAGTTAAGATGAGGTTTAACCAGCATAGAATACAGCTTCTCCTTTGTTTTTGTTGAAGATTGATAGAAGTTCCTTTTCAAGAAGTTGACTACTTTCATGGCCTTACTTCTTGGATTTTCAACCTGCTTGTTCCATCTCATATCATTTTGTATGATTATACCCAAGTATCTGGTGTGTGTGGTTTTTTCGAGATTGACTCCCATCATCTGGTAGGATGTTCTGTTTGGTTTCCTGCTCCTCGTGACTCGCATAGTTGTGCATTTGCTCGGGTTGAAAGTCATTCCCCAGGTATTGGCCCAGTTGACCAAGGTGTTAAGATCCGTTTGCAGTATTTCCTCATCTTTGGGTGATCTGATGGTGTTGTAGATTAAGCAATCATCCGCAAAGAGTCTGGTAGTACTCTTCACACCATTATCAATGTCATTGATATGAAGGAGGAAGAGATGTGGCCCGAGGACCGTACCCTGTGGAGTCCCACTCAGGACGGGAACCCAGTCAGAACACTCGCCGTTAATCATGACCCTCTGGGATCTCTTAGTAAGAAAGGATGATATCCACTTTTGGGTTTTGGATCTAATCCCGTAGAAGTCCAGTTTAGTGAGAAGGCTATGATGCGGCATCACATCCAAGGCCTTCGAAAAATCCAGTATAGCTACATCCGTTGTCAGTCCAGTACCATGAATACCATGAATACAGCTCAAAACTAAACTTATTAAATTCCATGCAACACTCAAGGCTAGGCACCATTGGCATTGCATTCTGATAGATCTCTTAGACATATACTGCCTACAGTAAATCAACCATATGAATGTAAGTTGAACAGATTTGAACAGATTTGAACAGATTTGAAGAAAGTATTCTCCAAAGTATTCTCCATAGATTAAGAATAGGAGTGATAGGTTTGAACTTAGATCTCTTCAGATTGAATATACACTCGACAGGCCATTGCAATAACTGCATAGGACGTACTGAAACTGTAAACCACTTTCTCACTGAATGCCCAAAGTACATAATAGAAAGAGCTATGTTACTTGTAGAAACTGATTTATCACATCCACAGGAAATCATGACACTACTTAAACTTTCAGAAATAGTTAAACAAAAAGCAATAGTTCGCTTCGTTTTAAGAACAAAGCGGCTGTATCAAAAGAGTATGGAAAGAGAAAGAATCCTAAAAATAGTCATTTATGACATGAAATTGTACATATATGTATATATATAAATAATTCATAAAATAGTGCGTGGCAAAATAGTCAACTGTGACTGATTGCCAAACAAAACAAATCAAGAAGAAGAAGAAGAAGCATTGCTTCACTCAGTGTCATACCAATTATAAAAAACAAACTGAGCTGAGTAATTCTTGATAGTGATACAATTTTCTAGTAGGCTACGTTTTACTTTTAGTACTAGCAAGAACCTTATATTTATAAGAGTAATCAATACAGAATTTCAGAAATATGGTAGTCTATACCTACAAAATTATATCCTGTTTAATTTCAGGTAAAACTTTAATACTATAGTGAAGGATCGCAATATGCTGACAAATATTCTAGAGGTGCATTGTGATTCTGTGAAGTGTTGACGTGCATGCATTACCTTCCGGGAACCTTGTTTGTGTTTGTCTTCCAGTAAGAAGATGTTCTTTTCCCTTCAGCTTGTGACACGTACCCAGCATTGACAGCAGTAGCTACACCAGGTTTCCCTCTTGTTGCCGCCATTTTTGTCAATCTATATTGCATAAACGCAAAGTCTGACTGACCAAAATGATAAAAAGTACAGTAGATCTGTCCCGATCTGTCTAGGCCTACGATATCATGGCTGTTGAAATAGTATAGCAGCCATTGACATGTATACACGGTCTAAAATTGCAATATAACTCGCATAGCGCATATAGCGCGTAGTAGTGCTGACATGTACTTAGCAGAGCTGGCGATAATTTGCACACACATGCTCCTTGAAGCATGACCAAAGTCTCGATCGCCGGTATTCAATCTCTGCATATTATGCTCTACACTGGTGCAGAACGTTGTGTAGAGTTCAATTTGAACCCCCAAAGATCAGTTATTGCAAAGATGGCCAACACTATTCTTTAACGTAGTCCAATCCTATTTATTTGATAAGATTGGCATTGGCTACTGCACTAGGTAAGGCTGGGCCTAGGAATAAAAATCGGACCATAATAATGTAAATGTACGGTGGAAGGGGGGCGGGGCGGGTTCATGTACCCCAGAGCCATTGCGGCTCTTGAAGGGGGTGTGCGACAACTAAAATGCGAGGGAGAGAGAGAGGGAGCGCGCAAAATGCAAACGGAAAAAAGAGAAGGGGAGAAGAGAAAGATATTAGATGAAGATCTATTGCGATGCGCCCGATAAAGCCAGTAAAAGCGCATTTATTTCTTTAGTATTAGACTTTTAATTAAATTTGTCGGTTGCTTTGCTTCAGGAACTCGTAAAATCGCGCCCACTAAGAGTAAAGCAATAGGGTGGCATTTACTGGCACTTTACCTTACTCACCTTCATCAGCCTCAGGGGCGTCGCTAGACAGTGGGGGTGTGCAGAGGCCAGGCGTGGATCCAGGATTTCACAGGGGAGGGGCCTAATTTTTCCGAAAAGTCGGTCAGTGGGGGGGGGGGGGGGGGGGGGGGGGGGGGGGGGGGGGGGGGGGGGGGGGGGGGGGGGGGGGGGGGTAGTGAGCACTATTTTTTTTTTGCTCCCGAAAATTTGAAAATCGCGCCGACCGAAAAGTCTCTCAGTAGAGGGGGGGAGGGGTAGTGAGCACATTTATTTTTTTTTGGCCCTCGAAATTAATTTGCACCCCCCCCCCCCATTGAGCGCCAGGGGGGGGGGCCCATCCCCCCAAAAGCTAAAAATCACGTTTTTACATGTTTTTTTCCCAGGAGGCCGCCCCCCCCCCCCCCCCCCCGGATCCGCCACTGGCAGAGGCCACCGATTGCCGACAAAACTAGCCACCAATTACCAACTAATGCCAATGTCCCAATGTCTACAAATTAATGTAACCCTATAAACCCGTGGGCAGGAGCTAAATAATTGTTCAGTTTCCTCCCTCCTCGTGTAGCGTGGAAACTTTGACATTTCATTGAATTGATGGAGAGAGAAGACAATTCGTTGTACTGTTCTCTACTCTTAATCCTTGTCTGAATTCAGTTTCCCTCTCCCGCGCGAAAGAGAGAAGGAAGGAAAGGGGGGAAAAAAAGGAAAATAAAGGAAAAAGAAAAGAAAAGAAGGGGGATATCAGTTGCGATTAATCCCGCCAACAACGTGTGGATCGGGGGGGGGGCGAAAGGGCCTTGCCTTCACCCTCCACCCATCAAACCTAAAAGAGAGAGAAGGAAGGGAAGGGAAAGGAAGAGAAGAAAGAAAGGGAAAGAAAAAAAGAGAAAAAAAGTAAGGTAGGGGAGATCAGTTGCGATTTTTCCCGCCAACAAGGTGTAGTTCGAGAGGGTGGGGGGAGGGGTGGGGGTGGTATGCACTGGCGTCCGGATGGGGTTGGGTGCCCCACTTCAAAAAATAAAATTCAAATTTTGTTTATTTCTAATTCGATACCGGTGATTTACAACTGTTGCTGAGAAAACATAATTTTCCTCACTTTTTAGTAAATTAAACTTTTTTATGCATTTTTTATGCATTCATTTCATACATGTTTATTTAGAGGCTTACATGTCAGGGCCCGCGGAACAGCGGGACTCGGGGGGCCTCGAGCTTCCCCTCCCATTTTAACAAAAAAAGTATATGGAGAAATAGAATGAAAGAGAGAAACAAAAAGAAAGAATAGTGGCCTGGCAGTGTCAAAAAATTATGAGGTATCAAAATATGCTCATCTGACCCGGGCAGTGATTAAATGCCGCAAACCAGTGGCGGATCCAGGGGGGGGGGGGCCGGGGGCCCGGCCCCCCCCCCCCCTTGAGAAAAAATCATGTAAAATCACGTGATTTTTACCTTTTTTGGGGGTTGGGCCCCCCCCCCCCCTGGCGCTCAAGGGGGGGGGGGTGCAAATTGAATTTTTTTTTGAGGATCAAAAAAAAAAAAATGTGCTCACTACCCCCCGAATTCCCGAGGGCAAAACGAAGGGGGAAATTGCTAACTACCCCTGGATACCCATCTTACCGTTATTAATGCCTTAAAACCCCTGAGCCTCCGGGGTCTTCGCCCCCAGGACCCCACGCCAATTAGTGACCTGCCAGTGTCACAAAAAAAATATATGCTCATCTGACGGTAATTAAATGCCTAAGACCTCTGAGCATCTGAGGGCTCCGACCTCTAGACCCCACGCCAATTAATACCATGCGTGTCACACTGTCACAATAAGGTATCAAGATATGCTCATCTGACCTTAATTAAATGTCTTAAACCAGGGGCGGATCTACGGGGGGGGGGAGTGTAGGAGGTTTGACATCTCCCCTCCCCCTTTGGCTGCCAAGTGAAAATGTGATGTGCATAGTAAAAGGCCATATTTTGCGAAGATATTCAACTCATCATAACTGTATATTAAACTGTTACTCGATTTTAAAAGACATTATTGTGTTAGTAGATGCCAGGAAAACATCACCTACGGGGTAAAAAATAGCACAAAAAAAAAAAATCGCCTCGCCGCTATGCGGCTCGTCATTGGGTCAAACAAAAAATTCCTCGCCCCTACGCGACTCTAGGACGATGCTCTGCATCGTCATTGCTCCCCCCTCAACAAACAAACAAAATCGCCGCTTCGCGGCTCGTGGACGATGCTCCTTATCGTTATTGAGTCAAATCCCCCTGAGCTTCCTGGGGCTCCGCCAATAGGGTAAGCTCCTGAATGCTTATCTGACCGTTATAAAATGCCTCATATCCCTGAGTTTCAGGTTGCTCAACCCCCTGGACCCCACGTCAATTAATGACCTGCCAGTGTCATAAATAAGGTATCAACATATGCTCATATGACCGTAATTAAATGCCCATACCCCTTGAGCTTCCGGGCTCCGCCCCTGGACCCCCGGCGGGCCTTTGCCCTTAGACCCCACGCCAATTTACGCTACACTCTACCTGATTATAAATACTTTAGCCTCCCCCACCCATTTTGAAAAACTTCAGCGGGGCCTGCATGTAAGAAAGGGGTGATGCGGATTTTTTGTCTGCCCCCCACCATTTTTGCTGGTCACCATTAGTACCAGTATTTGGCTCGCATAGTTTCAAATTTGTGTCCCCCCCCCTAAGAAATCCTGGATCAGCCCCCCCCCCCCCCCCGCTTGAGAGACGCCCCTGCCTATAACAGGCTGTATAAAATGAGATTGAAAAGGTTCATCGTTGAAAAAAACAACTTAAATTTCGATTACCTTGCTAAATTCCTCGATTAGATCTATACTCCTCCAAGAGTTTGCATTGCACCCTATTTTAGGCAGAAATGAGAAGACTTTCGGAATTCGACACTCTACTTTTGTTACGTTACTAACTGTGTAATTTTTGTAGTGTATTTTAATGACGCATTAACATTCTTACCCTAATGAAAGTGTTTGTTTTTTTGCTCGCTCGCTCATGACAGTTATACACCCCCCCCCCCCACTCAGTGTTATTTAGGGTACGCGTATGCATGTTCCCTCACTTTGGCACCCCCTCTGCTCAATGTAACCCCCTATCTATGATATTGAAGATATTTCATAACCCCCTTTTGAAATTTCTCAAGAGTCCAAAAAGGGAGAGAGAGAAAAAAAAACCTCCTTTTTTAATTTATCAGGAATCCAAGAGATAGAGAGAGAAAAAAAAACACACCCCCTTTTTTTACAATTCTCGGGCCGGACTTTGTCGCGCGAAAATTACCCCTTTACCGGAGATTGAGGGAACACGAATGCGGTCCCTACGACCCCGGAGTGGGGGGGGGGGGGCGAGTATACACAGGATGGTTGAGTTCGGCCAAGAGGCCCATATTCTCGCTAAAGTGCAAAACCCTTAATGACCCTTAAATATGTTTATAGAGGCCTCAGCCGCATACCCCGTCCAACCAAATCTGATAATTATGGCGTGGTGACCGTGCGCGAAATGTTAATATTTGTAGTTTTTGACTTTGAAGTTGGAGCACTTTATCGCACAGGCAAACCAACTGAAAGAACATCTCTTCACTTGATGACACGTATAAATATTCGTTTATTTTCTAAATTTCGGGGGCTCCCCTTGACACTAAATCCAGAGAGAACGTCCTCCATTAAGAGCACATTTTTTTTTTTTGGTCCAGTTTTTGAGGACAAATTTTCGCCGACCCAGCCGGCCGGTAAATAAGCGGGGGGGGGGGGGGGGGGGGGGGATGCTGAAAAGGAGGACCACTATTGTTTTTTTTTGGGGGGGGGGGTTAGGGGGCCGCTTTTGTTTTTTGTTTAATAAAGGTAAAATTTGCGTTACTATCCTATTTTTTATCGTTTAGGGGGCTAGGAAAAGAAAAGTAATGTGGAGGTATTGTATAAAAATGCAATTCTTTTGTGAGCATGTGCTGACACTATGAACATGACACACAAAGAAAGCGGACAAAATATACAGTTCCTCAGGTAGACAAAGTAACATCCCTTCACTGCTATTATGTAAAAAGGTGAATATGCATGTGACACCTGTTCTACACATTTGTACATAATAGCAGTGAAGGGATGTTCCCTTTGTCTACCTGAGGAACTGTATATTTTGTCCGCTTTCTTTGTCAGTCATGTTCATAGTGTGAGTTGGGGGAAGTTTCATAATACTGCATCGTGTTAGCTCACTAATGATTGACAGATGATGTCACAAGATGAATAAGATCTGGAACTTTTTTCCATTTTTTTTCTTCGATGGCCTGAATTTATATTCAGCATGTGTTTTTTATTCACCTGAAAGCCTTTAGCTGTGTCAAGATGGAACATCAGATGAATTATAACACTATTTCACTTTTACAAAAAAATTCGACCTTGC